AGACGACATGGGCAAAGTAACATGAGCATCACATATTAGAAACCTTTTGTTATCTCATGGCTACGGTTTTGTATGGTTAAATCAAACAGTTGGTGATCTTAAACTCTTCTTGAAACAATTTCGTGAACAATCTATAAATATTTTCTACCAGGAATGGCATTCCACTCTTGAAAACAGTTCAAGGTATGACTTGTATAGAACTTTTAAGAGTCTTATTCAACCAAACAAATACTTATCTACATTAACATCAAGAGTGAGTGAGTGAGTTGGGTTTAACGCCGCTTTTAACAGTATTCCAGTTATATCGCGGCGTGTCAGCTTAATGTGGGAGGAAAGCCCGAAGTGATGCAGGTCTCAGACGTTTACCACTTCGGTGAAACCCACGAGCACGGGTATGGTGCTGACAAACCTAGAAACATAATCGGGGCGAACCGGGATTCGAACCCACAATCATAGGTTTCTGGCGTGCCCAAGGGACGCAACTCTGCACAGCGAATCGCGGCGCCTTAGACGACTGGGCCACCCGTGCCCCTTAACATCAAGAACCCTTCGACGTCCATTTATTCAATTTAGGCTCGGATTGTTAGATCTCATGATAAATGAAGGCAGAAAAATTCCCACTGAAAATGCGAAGAGGTTCTTCCCATTATGTCATTCAGCTATACAAAATTAAATTCATTTTACTTTTGTATGTCCTTATTATTTTGATATAAGAAACACGTTTATACCAGAACGCTATCTGGCAAATTATCCTGTACCTGCTTTTATTTCTCTTTTTTCTTCAAAAGATGATACTGTCATATTAAAACTGTCTATATATGTTAAAAATGTAATTTCCCCCAGAAACAAATTGTTAAAGATGAGTATATATCCAAATATGAAAAACTTCTTATTTGTAACTCTTTTGTATATGAGAGGGAGGCCTTACGTGCAATAAATATCTTTAACTTGACACAGCAAGTGTCGGCGCTTTGGATCAGGGTTGGTGTTATTTCATAATGAAGAGTATCAATAAATATACTGACACACAATCAAAACGCATATGAACTTTAATTCTGGGGAACAGAAAACGATTTTAGCGGTATAGTTTTACTCGCAGGACAATGCATGGTGGCTATGTGACAAAATGACATTATTGTGTTTGATTATATCATGCCTCAATACACAGAACACCTTAATTATATATTTGTGGCCATTTTGTCAATTACTACAAAATTTCGAACATGCGTTTTCGAAGTATTTCGGTACGATAAAAATATTTTCTTAGTGCATTCTCTCATTCATATAAATTTATATCCTCTGCTAAGGTGATTATAATTTCTTGTTTGTTCATAAAATATATTTGGGAATTTAGGTTTTATCTCGAATAGTTAAAATATAGTTAAAATACGTTGTTAAAAAATGCATAAAGTAAAAGACGGTCTTAAAAGAAATGTCTTGACGTGTATGCCAAATCATTAAAACAACTTAATTACTCACACATTGTAAGGGCGACAGTTTCTCCTGATGAAATGGTATTCAAAAACGCAATGACAATATAGTCTTTATTACATTAATTTATATGCTTTTAGTAAAAAGTTTATTAGTAACACTTTTGGATAAATGAATGCATCTTCCGTCTCCGAGCTGAAAGGTACAGTTTCGCTCCTCGTGGGGTTGACTAATCGTAATACCGATGCCAGTACAGATGGGACTCTTGCGGAATCACAACCTGTTATCAGACCTCCGTGCAGAATTTTAGCGTCGCTCACGCACAATCTTACACGCCACAACACCAAAACACGCATTGCGTATTGTGTCTTGAAAACTAACGTGATGGTGTGAAGGGTATTGGGTTTCTTGATATTTCAAAGTAAACGATTGCCCTGTTTTCGTACTTAAATGTAGTCACGTTATTGACGAAAAATTTAACAGCGACATTAGTGGATTTTATAACTGAAAGATTTTGAGGGTAGGGTAAAAAAATGCTTTGAAAAGTTTTTAGGGGCTTTGAGATTTGAATTGAGTCGGAAGTTGGAATTTTAAAAACATGTCTGGTCTCACTGATCATGTAATTTAATTACTTGAATTATGACTTATAAATGTCTCTATCGGTTTCCAAATAAATTAAATTCATTCAAGACAGTGTTTTATTATGTCAGCATTTCAGTCGATGCCAAATGTTTTGAGCTCATTATTACTGTCAAAACTATTTTACTGTCTGTAGCGTAAAAATAACGTGCAATTGTACTTGTATTTTTTACCACATTTTCGATTTGTAAGGTTTGCGGATCCTTAACGAAGTCAAATTAATGATAAGGTGTAACTACATATATTCATTTGGGTGTTCCTCCCAACACCCACACTGATATGGAATCGTTCTTTGCGCACTGAGAGATCCCGTTATGATACATTCATCATGTACATACTGTTTACATACCGATCACGAACATGTACCACCGATCGCGCGAACTCACGCGAGACCGCGTGTCATGCAATTACGACATGGTCTACGTCACGAACACGATTAAATGGAAAAGTAACACAATGTGCAAAAGTGAAAGATTCGTCTACTAAGGGGACAGACATTTTGATATTCTGGGGAAAATAATTATGTTTGTAAATTTATATGCTCGTTTTAAATGATACTTCCCTTTCATAGGATCAGATATACCTTGATATGACAAGAATTTTGCCAGTTTGTGTTCACGAAGATTTCGTGCTTCTCAATATAATCATTAGCCCCTCATGTACAGTGAGCTTGGGGTTTTCTTCCATTTTTGTTTGTGGTTCGTTGCCGTCCTCAACATTATACCAGCTTTGTGATGGCGGTGTGTAAATAATCTGTGAGCCCATTTCTGGAGTTGCTGGGATATTACTAAAAGCGGCGTAAAACCATACTCACTCACCCTGTAAATAATCGAGTCTGGACAGACAATCCAGTGATTGACAGCATGAGCATCGATCTATGCAATTGGGATACGATGACATGCATCAATCAAGTCAGCGATCCTGACCAACCGATACCGTTAGTCGCCTCTTATGACAAACATGGGTTGCAGAAGATCAATTCTAACCTGGATCTTCACGGGGGACAAGCATGGGTTGCTGAAGATCAATTCTAACCTGGATCTTCACGGCTACAGTGTGCCGTGTAAATGTGGAAATCTTTATCAATACGTTGTTGGTAGAGCACGTCCATTGTACACATCCGCGTACGCTTCTGCACGTACTCGAGTGTCTATCGAACTTGAATACCTCTGTCTTGGTTGGTACTGTATTTCCTCTATTTGACGCCAGCAGTTAGACCGGCGCCTAGAAGAGGACCACGTCTATTAGTGGCCCGGTGTCTTCTCTTTAGTGCTGACACAGTGGCAACTCACTTCCTTACCGAATCCAAAATTCTACAATCATTCAAAGGGGACATTTACTGGAAACGGTCATTATGAATCTCTAACATATCACAGTATTAGAGACACGGCGTCTAGTAGAGCCCCGGCTTCTATGTTTTCGACAAAGCGCAAGACCCGGCGTCAATTAGAGGTCAACGTGTATTGGATGCACGGCGTCTAATAGAGAAAATACGGTAACTATTACTTAACAAATCCCTCTGGTTGTAACTGTCTCAAATTCAACATGCGTTAACATCTTGTTACTCTCTATGACTATATCTGGTAAGGGATACCATCCAATACTTTGATTCAATTTAAGCCTACATAGGGCTTAAAACGTTTTTTAATTTATACGCAGATTTCCGGTACCATAGCATATGGATATCGGATTCTTGAAACGTTTATTGAATAGATTAAAGTTGTTCATTAATAACAAAGCATATTCTAATCAACATGATACCAAATTGTTCTAGATGTAGGAGATGGTGAGTATTGTTTTACGCCGCTCTTAGCAATATTCCAGCAATATCACGGCAGGGGACACAAGAAATGGGCTTCAAACATTGTACCCATGTCGGGAATCGCGACGGGCGGACGCTATAACCACGACACTACCCCACCGCCCCTTAAGATGGAAGACGATATTGATTGATGAAGTGGAAGTACATTGCTGACTCAGATCGTGATCAGCTGGTGACATTCCGGGACAGGCCGAATGTGAAGGGAAGATGGGCAAAGTCTAGTCTCCATGACCCTGGAGAATAAATTTAAAAAGGATTCCAACTCGAGTCTAGAATGATTGAGCAAGTCTTGATTGCCGCAGTCCAGAAATTAAGCATTGTTCTGGGCTACATTTGAATTTGTTTTTGTTTTTTTAGATATTTTATTTTAATATGATAGCTATATTTCTAGGACTAAATGCAAGTCTAGGCTAATACTCCCTTACAACAATACCCGGAACCTGGTAATAAAGGTGTCATGCATAGTCTGTCTCAGACTTTAAATTAATCGAACTCAAGTCTAGAATAATTAGCAAATCTATATTGACCCAGCTCTGTTGCATTGTTCTTTTTATTTTGTAGATATATATTTTTCAAATACAATAACTTTATTTCTGGAAAAAACGTGTGTCTTGTCTTGTCTGTCTTCTCCGGGAAAGTGGCTGATATGAAACCAAGCTCCTGGCAGCAAACGAAGGTGTTACGCGCTGGGAAGGAGCTTGGTGCAAAGAATTCAAAGGGTCGTAACTCTAAATAATTTAATCTAAGGGGGACAACCATGTGCAACAGCCTGCGGGGAAAACAAACCGGTGACTGCGTTCGTGCTGTATCAGAGACTGGCACACAGCAGAAGATCTTGTTTTGTGTATAATGACAGAGCTCTGAAGCTACGCTGAAATTGTAAGTTTATTTCTCTCATTCTCAACTTGGCTTCTGTTTACCTTATTTTCTGTTATCAATACCAGGTTACGATCGAACAACGATTCTGTTAGTTCAGAATATCGAGGGCGTACTACTAACCTAATCCGGGCTAATTTTGACACTGTTCAACAAATCAGGGCGTTCGCCTTCACTTATATAACTCGTGTACATTTTACGTTTCAAGTTTTATCTTTGTGTATGGACAATGTCAACATGGTGGTTGAAGTTATGTAAGCTTTGCGTGCCGCGTGGGTTCGTTATTGAAGTTTGCCAAAGTGCGGTCATTTTCTGGAAGAGTCGACTTGGATTCTACGGCAGCGAATAGAAAAAAATGCAAAGTCACGGTTTGCAGACTGAAGATAAGCAGTGGGACACTGTATCTAATCGAGGAAGTGTTGGACAGCACGTCTTGTCTCTGAGAAAGGTCAACCTTTACAACACTGCCCGACTTACACCATCAAGTGTCCAATTGCCAATCGGACAGTCTTGTTAGCCCTGGTTACTGGACGTAGACGCTGGATCGTTGGATGTGTGTGGTAACTAGGTTGTTTTGATACCATGATGTTAAAAATATAAGGCATATATTCATTCTTTGTTTTACGTGTGTTTAATAGGTTTGAAAAAAAAAGTTCTACCAGTTCTCTTCTAATTTGAATTAGAGGCGGTCGGGTAGCCTAGTAGATAAAGTGTTCCCTCCTGACACCGAAGACCCAGGTTCGAATCCCGACATGGGTATAATGTGTGAAGCCCATTTCTGGTGTCCCCCTCCGTGATATTGCTGGAATATTGCTAAAAGCGGCGTAAAACCATACTCACTCACTCTAATTTGAATAAGGCCTATAGGTAGTTTGTTTGTTATTTATAAATCATATGTAACTTGCATAAAACATTAGATTCTATATATGTACTTATCACAAATATTTGGATTATTTTATTTTAAAATTTGGCAACTTGTCATATTTTTACTGTAGGTGATGTATTTATGGTCGTAATCCTGGTAATTACATAGCCCTAAAAACAATAAACTTGGTATACCCAATTTCTTATTTCTAACAATTTGTTTATAGGACAAGATTATGAAAATGTCAATCATGTAGTTGAGGATAGAAGACCAGTCCATTCAGCATATAGGGATGACATGAGAAAACATCACCATACAGACACCATGTCATCATATCAGTACTGATATTGTAGGATATAACAGGTTCCTATTCCTTAGTTAGGTCTTCAGCAACCCATGCTTGCCGTTAAAGGCGGCTATGCTTGTCGTAAGAGGTGACTAACAGGATCGGGTGGTCAGGCCCGCTGACTTGGTTGATGCATGTCATTGATCCCAATTGCGTGGATCAATGCTCATGATATTAATCACTGGATTGTCTGGATCAGACTCGATTATTTACAGACCGCCATCATATAGCTGGAATATTGCTGAATGCAGCTTTAAACAACACACCAACCAACTAACCTTACGAATGGCTGTTACTTTATAAGGTAGTTGTACTGATGTACATGATATAGATTGTACAGATGTAAACCATAGTTCAACGGATGAGACCAACTGTTTAACAATACTCTCTGGACAATGCTGTAAATAAATCATGTTTTTGTCATCAAAATGATTATGTTTTCCACATCTCTTCTAAAAAGGTGACATCTGTTGTATACAGAATCATTATGAACCTGAGGAAGGATATTTTGTCTCCATGCATACACTATTAATATTGTTAAAAAAGGAGTAATATCTAACATATCTAATGCATTGGATCTATAAAGGTAAAAAAGTATTTATTGATGGTATTGGTTCCCAAATTGAAGGAATTGGAAATAAAATATGTGATTTATAAGTGAGCGAGAATGGTTTTGACTCTGCTTTTAGCAATATTCCATCAATGTAGAGTCACTCCAGAAATGGACTTACCGTATTAGACATAATAAGCACCCAGGGCGCTCTCAAAATTAGAATAAGGGGGTGCTTATTAGAATATTTTTTTGGTGAAAAACAACAGAGTTCAAAGAACGTAAATTTCGTGGTTGAAACATTTATAAACGACAGATATATTTTTCCAGAATTTAATTGCCCATAATTAAGGGTGCATATAACAAGCGTATTATGCACGAATAAATAGCCTTGTGTACATTTATCAATCGGAAAGGGTGCTTATTGGGATTGTTCACTAGCCAGTATATTAGCGTGGGCGCTTATTAGAGCGGGGCGCTTATTACGTCGAATACGTTAAAATGGATTTATATTTCACCCACATCGACAGTAATGCAGCAAATAGCAGTGTTTGCGTGTTGACAGTCTGCATTTTACCTAAAATGTTTTCCTAGTGTGCCATCATTTGTTTGTGTTGTTGATTGACAATTGATCAGATTGAAACTGGAGGTTTACCTTGCAGGGAATTATCTTGGATTCAAATTAAGAGCCTCTGACAGACAATTTGGAAAAAAATCATTATTTTTTTCAAAATGAGGAGTGTATGAACGCATTACTTTCTTAAATTCTTAGGGATTTTAACATTGTATTATGAGATTGCATTAACATGTTAAGACCTCTTTTGTCTTTATTGGTCTTGTTACCAGATAAATACAGGATACCTCTATAAAGCCATAAAATTAGTTATTGGTAATTACATGAATTGGGACATATATAATTCCTATTTGGAATTTTTGAAGACATTTACTGCAGATTTGACTGAATATCGGCCTCAGGCAGGTGTACATAAATCCCTGGCTGGGTCACCATTGCCAAATACCAGCGCTAGAAATTGACACTAGTCCTGTTGATCTTGCCAAATTGCCCATTGGTTAAGGTATCATAAGGACCAGTAGAAATTTGTCATTATGTCTCCCCCAGAATGGAGGGAGACATATTGTTTTTGACATGGTTCCCGTCGGCGTTGGCGGGGTAAGCTTGGTTTCCGGACCATAACTCGGAAACCGTTTAATATTTTTTCGCGAAACTTTGTATACACATTAACCCAGCACTGAAGTGGTGCCTTTTGCTATTTAGAGATTTTTGACATTTTTATTTTTTCTCGTTTCCATGGAGATAACTTGAACATAGACTCTGAATGGGGGTAAGCTTGGTTTCCGGACCATAACTCAGAAACCGTTTAATATTTTTTCGCGAAACTTTGTATACACATTAACCCAGCACTGAAGTGGTGCCCATTAGTAGTTTGAAATTTCTAGGAGTTCTATTTTTGTCTCTGTTATTTAGTAATGGAGGGTGGGAATGAAGAGATGGGGTTTAACGTGAAGTAAACGAATGAATGGGGGTTAGGGGAGTGGGGGGAGACATATGTTTTTACGAGTAAAAACACTTTCTAGTTTTTATTGGTTTTGCTATATGTTATCATTATAAGGACTAGTGGACTAAAACTGTTAGTTTCTACCACTGCAAATACAATGAAAACATTTGTCAGGTGTGTGACCGAGAAACAGGAAATGTTGAGCTGGGAAAAAGTATTCATGAACTGGTTTCAAATCTCAATCAAACCACAATGGATTGACAATCTAATGTTGAACACTAAGACAGCATTTCTGGGAAATTAGAGGGATCCAAATTACTAGCCTTCGAGAAACAGGAGATTCCTTACATTTGATATATGTCATACCGCATTCGCTGTATTAAGCGCCCTGATTCAATAAGCAACCCGGTCCAATCAGCGCCCCACTGCAATTACCCCCGAAAAAATTCTAGATGTAATCTTTCCAAGCACCCCTTACTGAGACTGAAAATTTTCATGCTAATCCATATTTTCTTGGGTATATTATAGTGATGGAACGATACAACAATGCATCATTGGATCGTGATATTTTACTTCCCGATACAAGTATCGATCACAGAGGCACACTATGCAAAAAATATCGATTCATACCTTAATTGTTCACTTTAATGGCTGTTACACCAAACGCTAATTAGTAGTGAAGAAGTAAATATTTTTTCTCATTGCGCCGTACTTGACACTGCCAACTGTAAATCGTCAGTGTGCCAGGTAGTTGACTTTCCTGTCAATGAAAAAGTTTCCTTATGCACCAGAGATAAGAGCACATGCAATTATCGAGATACGTATTGGATCGTGAACAAGATATCGTGATACTATTGGATCGCACAGTTGGGGTATCATACCTGCCCTAGTTATATATAATATTACCTATATTTTCCAGAAGACGGCGGCACAGAAGGGGTGTAATATTGCCCTGTAAGTTTGTTCACTTTCCCTGGATCACTGAAGATAAAAACAGCATGTAGTAGTGTATGGTTTCTATATGCACCCCTCTAAGGGCCAAGGGCGCTTATTACAGTGAAAATGGTAGTGTTGCACCAGTGAAAACTATTATTGAAATATGCATCCCAACATTTGTCTACATGAATCAAGTGCATGTCACAATTGTTCAAATTTGTGTGGTGACAAACCATTAATTGTACGCACAACATTGATCTTTGAAGCTCTAAGCTTTAGTTGCCTTAATACCTCACTAATACCTTTGTTATGTGTAATTTGTCATGCTTTCTTGGGCTTGAACTTGATGTCATCGTATCACATGATGATATTTAGATTATCTTACTAATGATAATCATAATGTATTATATGACTGTCCCATTGATGAATCATTCATATACACTTCACAATCATCTAGGATAAAGAACTTCAATATGTCGTCATTTCACTCTTCCCGGACCCCCCTGTAACACCCTCTGGATCTATGCTATGTTTTTGTTTCCGAGGCAGTCATGGATAGAACATGTCCCCAGCCATCTGTGTTTATACATTGTTGAAGGGTGGGACTTGGTTGATTATACGGCAGTGTCATTGTACCTCATGTTGTTCATAACATGTCACTCGTTTGCCTGGTCCAGACTATTGTTAGACTGACATCATATTATAATGATGACTGTTCTGTTATAAACAGTAAACTACGTTTATAATGAACACACTGATAACGAACTGACGGATAAGCTAAACGGTGATGTTCAAAGCGGCAATAAACAATTGAAGGCAATTGATTTACTCTTAAGTACTTACACCTTGTCCTAAAATTACACCCTCAATTAACAACAGTAACACAGTGATTGCAGTGGATATATTCTGTACATGTACAGTGCACACTTTTGTTATTTATGGAGAAACATGATGTCACATGACTTGATAAAAGCTGTCTGACGGTCGAAAAGCGTAGAATTAACGACGAATATAACGGACTAAAATTAGTGCGACCTTTGAGTTTGTTATAACCGTAGTTTACTGTGTGTAATTGTTTTATGAAAGTTGTATTCAGTCTGTGTATATCTAGTGTATTCAGTGCTGGTATGGATCCCTCTCACTGCAGAACAACACCAAACTCTAGTAAAACATTTATATGGGAGGCAAAAACTCAGGATGTCAGTTCGAATCCACAGATGAGCTGTATACTAACCAGGTTTCTAGCTCAGCTGGTAGAATGTTAGATGATCGTTTTCACTTTTTATATCCTTGTTATTCACTTTTACCATCCGGACGTCATTTCCTTGTTTTCATTTATAAATTCCAAAGGTCTAAAATGTCTTTTTTATTTAATTAGGAAACTGTTTTCTGTTGTACATCATCAATTTTTAAAATTCCTCCTTTTTTTATTATGTATGATGCTTAGCTTTGTTTTTTGTCACCCTGTGTAACCATTGTGAACTTAGTAACATGTAACTATGGTTACTATTCTAATTTACAATACACATGTTCATGTATGTGTGCCACTCTGATGTAAAAGATATTCTTTATCTTACCTCTTATCTCTGGAATATTGCTCAGTCAGTCCCCACTGTATTCCGCAACCCAAAAATCAAATTTTGCAAGCTTATTTTTATAAATTCTGCCAACAATTTTTGATAATTCTGCACACAATTTTGCAAACTTTTAAGCTTGTTTTTTGTGAATTTTGTAGTTTTGCACATGTGTTTTAAGCATTTTTCTGATAAACCCATCCATTCTAAGAATAGTGTGGACTAGTGTAAACATGCAGACATGCATTTTCAGTAATTTACAATAAGAAAGGTAACTTCACTTCAAAACAGATTCTGGATATTGATTTCTTTTAACTATTTCTTAAAATGTATAATGTTAAAAAGTTTGTTTGTAAATTGATTTTGTTTTCCATATAACAAACACTTCAAATAATTATTTGGAAAGATTTGATTGATACAATGCACAATTCAAATTATGACTGTTCATTTGAGTATTCCTGTGCTACTTTTACACATTTAAAGCCTGAGACATGCATGTTAAAAATCTGCAGTGTTTTTTAATTTTTTTTTGAAAAATGCAAAATTCAGCACAACTTCTGCACAAAAAAAGATTTTGTGCCAGAAAGGTACATTTCTACACCAAGGGGGCACTTCTGAAAATATTCTGCAACCACAGAATCACAAATACAGAGGGGACTACTGAGCAATGCTGAGTGCATCTGAGATGTATTATGATGTTAAATATACGTGTGAAGCAGAAGGAGACAGGGGAGAGAACTCTTTACGGGTAGGGGAAGCAGGTCAAGCCTGGGGCTGTTGCACTTATGAGGCGTGAGATTGCTGGCAGTAACAGAAATTGACACTAACAAGATAGGATTTTTTTCTTAACCAATTTCTTTACTGGTTTACATTCCGGCCTCGCCCTCAACATGATGAATGTGTCACGAGAGAATGCTCTCTTTTTGTGACATCTTCTTGTTAGTATATATCGTTATTTTAAGTTTAGGGGGCACGGGTGGCCCAGTCGTCCAAAGGCGCTGCGATTCGTTGTGCAGAGTTGCGTCCCTTGGGCACGCCAGAGAAACCTATGATTGTGGGATTGAATCCCGGTTCACCCTGATTATGTTTCTAGGTTTGTCAGCAACATACCCGTGCTCATGGGTTTCACCGAAGTGGTAAACGTCCGAGACCTGCATCACTTTGGGCTTTCCTCCCACAAAAATCTGACACGCAGTGATATAACTGGAATACTGTTTAAAGTGGCGTTAAACCCAACTTACTCACTCACTATTTTAAGTTTAACCATATTTTTAAGTCTAAATTAACACTCCTCAGTTCCCAGCACACACGGCACAATGGTCTTTAGAATATGTAAAACAGCAAATGAACTGGTTTTGCCTTGTAATCAGGTAATGTTGATGTCAGTAAATAATCTGTATTAGTGGTTACTATAGTAACATGCAGAGTGCAATCTGCGACTTTAGCCATTGGTCTGAAGCCTGAGTTATGTTTAGTAAGCTTGGAAATATTTATCAATATTATTACACTAAAATCGACTGAAAATTATGCTTCGAGTCAAGTTTGACAATGTAGCCTCAAAAGTTTTTGACACAGAGAGTGGGGTGAATGGGTGTGTGAATTTCATGATGCTTGTGTATTTTGATAGAACTAACATATTATTTTGTTAATTTCATTGGGGTCGACATGTAATTTTCAAAAAGGGATTTGAACCATGTGATAAATGCTATAGACATGATAGAATCCATTCTAAATTTTGAAGTTCCTTGAATTTAATTGGATTAAAAAGTTTAATATGGTAATGAAAGACTCAATTTAATGATATTTTCAGAGATCAAGCATTTGTGAACATGTTCAAACCATTGATGAAACAAAACCTTTTGTATAAAACATTAGGCGCTCCTTCTTCGTTTCTGTTTCCTGTTAAAGAGATCTGAATTAAAGACAAGAAAATACAGACTGTTACTTGAATTTTCGGTTAAGGTCATGTTAGGCGCATGTGCTTATTAAAACTACTTCCTAATTGGTCTGAAAGTGGGTTGGTTGTGTGAGTGAGTGTGTGGGGCAGTGCAACTTACGAAGCTGTCAACCTTCTTTTGGTACTCGGGATTCCGGAGTCTATTTAGAGGGTATTTGGGACTCTTCAGTGTGGTACATGGTCAATACTTTGTCTTTTTTTAACCCTGTAACGAGAAATTGAGTTTGTTGGGACTGAAGTACAAAGGGAGATCACTCTCAGCCTTGACGTCAAATCTCATCAGTTTTCTCTGTCATGTGTTGTTCTACTTCCAGATATATAGACCAGCAATCTACCAGTGTCATCCTCCTTGTGTGTGAGGCCAGTCAAGATGTTGCTCTGTGAGAACAACACGCTGTGGACGTCCGTCTGGGTGGACGAGGGGATTAACCAATGTTTCTTCGACTCCATGTCCGCTGGTGTTCTGTTTGTCATCATAATAATATGTGGTTTTACTCAGTGTTTCTTCTACGGGCGGTACGCCACTCTCATCCAGCCTCGCCGCATCCCCTGGTCGGGATGGTACATTGTACAAATCATTATCACGGTCCTCATGGCTAGTGAGACTCTGCTACACATGATTGTGCAGGACACCTCCCTTGGACAGCAGTTGTATGGCTACGAGATTCTGACGGCGATGCTACTGTTGGTTGCATGGATTATCTCCCTTAGACTGATGAGCCTGGAGAGGAACTACGCCTTGCCATCGATACCAACGAGAGGCCATGGACTGGTGTTGCTCCTGTTCTGGTGTTTGGCGTTTGTCAGGGAGAACCTTGCTTTTGTCTCATGGTGGAGTCACAAATGGTGGTGGTACATGGATAGGTGAGTAGTGGTGGTACATGGATGGCTGAGTAGTGGTGGTACATGGGTGAGTGAGTAGTGGTGGTACATGGATGGGTGAGTAGTGGTGGTACATGGATGGGCGAGTAGTGGTGGTACATGGATGGCTGAGTAGTGGTGGTACATGGATGGGCGAGTAGTGGTGGTACATGGATGGGCGAGTAGTGGTGGTACACGGATGGCTGAGTAGTGGTGGCACATGGATGGGCGAGTAGTGGTGGTACATGGATGGCTGAGTAGTGGTGGTACATGGATGGGCGAGTAGTGGTTGTACATGGATGAGTGAGTAGTGGTGGTACATGGATGGCTGAGTAGTGGTGGTACATTGATGGGGGAGTAGTGGTGGTACATGGATGGCTGAGTAGTGGTGGTACATGGATGGGCGAGTAGTGGTGGTACATGGATGAGTAGTGGTGGTGGTACATGGATGGATGAGTAGTGGTGGTGGTACATGGATGGGTGAGTAGTGGTGGTACATGGATGGGTGAGTAGTGGTGGTGCATTGATGGGTGAGTACTGGTGGTACATGGATGGGTGATTAGTGGTGGTACATGGATGGATGAGTAGTGGTGAAGGTACATGGATGGATGGGTAGTGGTGGTGGTACATGGATGAGTAGTGGTGGTACATGGATGGGTGAGTAGGGGTGGTTCATGGATGGATGAGTAGGGGTGGTTCATGGATGGGTGAGTAGTGGTGGTACATGGATGGATGAGTGATGGCAGTACATGGATGGATGAGTAGTGGTGGTACATGGATGGATGAGTAGGGGTGGTACATTGATGGGTAAGGGTGGTACATGAATGGGTGAGTAGTGGTGGTACATGGATGGATGAGTAGTGGTGGTACATGGATGAGTAGTGGGGTTGGTACATGGATGGATGAGTAGGGGTGGTTCATGGATGGGTGAGTAGTGGTGGTGGACGGATGGATGAGTAGTGGTGGAACACGGATGGGTGAGTCGTTGTGGTACACAGATGGATGAGTAGGGGTGGTACACAGATGGGTGAGTAGTTGTGGTAGACGGATGGATGAGTAGTGGTGGAACATGGATGGGTGAGTCGTTGTGGTACAGAGATGGATGAGTAGGGGTGATACACAGATGGGTGAGTAGTTGTGGTAGACGGATGGATGAGTAGTGGTGGAACACGGATGGATGAGTAGTGGTGGTACATGGATGGCTGAGTAGTGGTGGTACATGGATTGATGAGTAGTGGTGGTACATGGATGGATGAGTAGTGGTGGTACATGGATGGGTGAGTAGTGGTGGTACATGGATGGATGAGTAGTGGTGGTACACGGATGGATGAGTAGTGGTGGTACATGGATGGATGAGTAGTGGTGGTACACGGATGGATGAGTAGTGGTGGTACTTGGATGGGTGAGTAGTGGTGGTACATGGATGGATGAGTAGTGGTGGTACACGGATGGATGAGTAGTGGTGGTACTTGGATGGGTGAGTAGTGGTGGTACATGGATGGATGAGTAGTGGTGGTACACGGATGGATGAGTAGTGGTGGTACATGGATGGGTGAGTAGTGGTGGTACACGGATGGATGAGTAGTGGTGGTACACGGATGGATGAGTACTGGTGGTACTTGGATGGGTGAGTAGTTGTGGTAGACGGATGGATGAGTAGTGGTGGTACACGGATGGATAAGTACTGGTGGTACATGGATGGGTGAGTAGTGGTGGTAAATGGATGGATGAGTAGTGTTGGTACATGTATGGATGAGTCGTTGTGGTAGACGGACGGATAAGTAGTTGTGGTACACGGATGGGTGAGTAGTGGTGGTACACGGATGGGTGAGTAGTTGGGTACATGGATGGGTGAGTAGTTGTGGTACATGGATGGGTGAGTAGTTGTGGTATACGGATGGATGAGTAGTTGGGTACACGGATGGATGAGTTGTTGTGGTACATGGATGGGTGAGTAGTTGTGGTACATGGATGGGTAAATGTGACCGGATAGTTTGAAGCAGTTGTGCATATGTTACAATTAAGGTTGGAGTTAGCTACGGTAAGAACATTTGCTCGTAATGCCAATAGCTCACGTTTGATTCCCTACATGGGTACAATGTATGAAGCCCATTTCATTCCAGTAGCATTACTGAAATATAAATAAGAGTTGGGTTATACAGAACTCACTCCGATGACCTCTTGTGTTCCAGCATGGAGAACCACTTGGAGTTTGGTTTCTGGGTGGTGCGTTACGTCTTCACCCTCGCGCTGTTCATTATGGGGCTGAAGGCTCCAGGACTCTCCCACATGAAGTACGACATCCTGGTCAATGATATGGTGAGATATTGCTGAACCATGTCCTGTCACTTTTAATTGGGAAATCTAGTTATTATATCTCTTTTTGTTGGGTGGATTAACACGATAAAGATCTTTTATTCTGATATGATACCTCTCTGTGCTAAGATCTGCCAAGCTTCCACTGTAGCTTCTTTCAGGGACACTTTCCTAGTTGCCAATCAGTATCAAGTCTTCTGAAGTTTTGGTATGACAGAGTGAAGTTTTCTGAGCAGCATAGCTGATTTCTGTATCTCAAAAATGAGCCTAAATGAGCAGTTCCAAGTGGTTACTAATAAAGGCTGTACTTTGTATGTTATGGATATTTCTCTGAGCGCCATTGCATCTACACCAAAACGTGTGTACAATCGAAGGAATATGTTAATTTAGGTCAAAGTTTCGAATGAATGTGGTAAAAAATTGTTTTAGAAAGTTGACATATAATTGGTTCAATAAACTCATGCATCCTTCATTTAGATTCCTGGGGGTATGAGGGCTCTGGGTGGCTAGTTGTCTTAGTCCCTGAGAGCACTGAGGTTCCTATCAATGTACAAGTGCTGATTTCAATGAGATTGAAGCACACCTGTAGGTTAATTTCTACTGCTGTGATTCCCAAAATCCCCAGGATCTGTATAGAGGAAAAAGGCTATCATCCACAGTTGTACAATATTATTTGAATGCAATAATTAAATTCATCTGAAAATAGTAGTTTTGGGCAAATAGTACATGCGGTTAGGCTTGCTGTAAGAGCTGACAATGCTTGTTTTAACCATGGTAACAGGCAACTAACATGCATGTCATCATATCCCAGTTGCATAGATCTATGCTCATGATGTCAATCACTGGATTGTGTAGTACAGACTAGACTATTTACAGACCCCTGTCATAAAGCTGGAATATTGCTGAGTGCAGCGTTAATTAACAAGCAAACAAACAAACAAAACGTGCACCAAGTTCAAAATCCTTGATAAATATTTGGAACTCAGCTACTATCGTTTTTAAGAAAGCTTTCATGGTTATAAGAGGCATCTTGGGTTGCCCCAGGGAGCTCTCCGTGGTCTAGTGGTAGAGCGCTGCCCGGAGAGCGGAAGATGCGGGGTTCGATCCCCGGCCGCATCATACCAAAAGGCTTTAAAAGATTGTTGTTACCCTGTCTGGCGCTCGGCATAAAGGGGCTAAAACAAGGACTGGTTGGCTCGGAGTCAGTATACTGTGTCTGTGTGGGGTATTGATGTTAAACTGCGACATGGTATCTCAGTGAGCTAGCACTATAAATCGGCATTAGTCTGGACTAGTACAAGCAGCCACACACACACACACACACACACACACACACACACACACACACACACACACACACACACACACATGGATGCCCATCACTATATAAATGCAATAATCTTGGACGCGACATTAAACCCAGTTTCACCTCACCCCCCAGGGAGCTGAGAATGTGCAGAGTGCACATTGATCCAGTGACCGGAGTAATGATAGTGCTTTGAGCATGCCCCTCAGTGGTGTGGAAATATGCGCAGTATAAATAGCCTTTTATCATCATCATCATCATCATCATCATCATCATCATCATCAAAATCTTTGTTTCATTGCCGTGTGTGTCCAGTCTGGTGGTGGTGTGGGTGGTCAGTCCTCGTCCACATGGAGCAACATCATGCAGAAGCTGCGGATGATGATCCCGTATTGCTGGCCGAAGGGCAATGTCCTGCTGCAGCTGACGGTGTTGATGTGTCTGATCATCCTGGCAGCGGGACGAGTCATCAATGTGTTCGTCCCGATCTACAGCAAACTGATCAGTGAGTCTACCCTTTGGGACTATCTTTTTCCCCATTGCCATCAAAACATCGGTTTTTAATATCTTGTGCAACTTTTTACTCAATCCTTGTCCTTGTCATAAGCCTATTGTTATGAATTAAAGTCTTAGAGGCTGATATTCAGTATATAGCAGCAACACAGGACCCCAGGACCCTAGTTAATGCTGAATGCTGCTATGTTATTATTAGTACATTCCTTTAAGAATTCCGGTCTGAAAGAAATCAGGCAGACCACATTCCCAGTATAACAGTCATACTGAAACACAGACATACACATTGTTTTGAATCATTCCTACCTGTAGTAATATCCCAGAGATTGAAGATAAAATTCGACTATGTTCAACCCTAAAATTACAACCGAGTTGATAAAACTAAATAATTTAAAAAAGAGCTTTTTTTTGCTAACAGTAAACAGCCTGACCCCAAGCAAGTTAACTAGTGGCGACAACTTGACTGCTCCAACCTTGAGCTTCCGGTGGGACTACATCCTGGCGTCCGTGGGACTCAGTTTCCTGCGAGGCGGAGGAGCAGGTGAGATGCTAGCAGCACACAACTAGCTGACAATACCCAGTGGCAGGCGCTGGCAGTGAGGTGGCCTAGCGGTTCAGTTCTTGCTTTATGTTGCTGAATTTTGGGGTTTGATTCCTGACGTGGTCATGTGTAGGTAGGAAGGCTTCATTATATGATAGATTACGTGTGATTAAATTGTGTGTGACCGAACTAGTTAATGTCCATGTAATGTTATGGTAGTTATCAATATAATGTGACTGACGTACGCTATTAATCGATATGTCTCCCTTCAACTTTGTTGTTAAATTGTAGGAACCTCGGGGCTACTCAACAACATTAGATCGTTCCTGTGGATCAAGGTACAACAGTTCACCACACGGAGAGTCCAGGTCAAGCTCTTCAACCACCTCCATCAGTAAGTCCTTCTATCAGTAAGTCCCCCTCCATCAGTAAGTCCCCCTCCATCAGTAAGTCCCCCTCCATCAGTAAGTCCCCCTCCATCAGTAAGTCCCCTTCCATCAGTAAGTCCCCCTCCATCAGTAAGTCCCCCTCCATCAATAAGTCCCCCTCTATCAGTAAGCCCCCCTCCATCAGTAAGTCCATCTATCAGTAAGTCCCCCTCCATCAGTAAGTCCCCCTCCATCAGTAAGTCCCCCTCCATCAGTAAGTCCCTCTATCAGTAAGCCCCCCTCCATCAGTAAGTCCCCCTCCATCAGTAAGTCCCCCTCCATCAGTAAGTCCTCCTCCATCAATAAGTCCCCCTCTATCAGTAAGTCCCCCTCCATCAGTAAGTCCCCCTCTATCAGTAAGTCCCCCTCCATCAGTAAGTCCCCCTCCATCAATAAGTCCCCCTCCATCAGTAAGACCCCCTCCATCAGTAAGCCCCCCCTCCATCAGTAAGTCCCCTTCCATCCGTAAGTCCCCCTCCATCAGTAAGCCCCCCTCCATCAGTAAGTCCCCCTCCATCAGTGCGGCAGCACTAGACATTTCTAAACCAGAAGTCATGTGAAACAAAGTTTTTGGCAGTATTATTTTGGAAGACAGTTCACACGATGGTTTAAAAATACACAATAGACTGTATGCAATGAAGTAAAACTATAGAATTCCCAAAGAAAACTCTCAATACCCAAAGTTAAATGATAACGTGTGGCTCATTGTGTTGTATAATTATCTGAGGCCCTGTGTTACATAGTGATATTTGTGAGATGAGAGACTATCTTCTAACATGACTCCCTGTACTGCAGACTGTCCCTGCGATGGCATCTGCAGCGGAAGACCGGGGAGGTTCTGCGAGTGGTGGACAGAGGCACCAACAGCATCAACAGTTTGCTCAGGTAGGATGTCCACATCCTGGGCCGCAGCATCATTGACAGGAAGCCTGAAACATCAGCTGTGATGATACCTAGTGTCACAGTACAGGATTAACAACCAATATGGGGCTTGAAAATAGAAAAGTTGAGGTCCAAAATATACCAACTGCCAACGCTGTCAAACTGCCTGATTAAACCACCTCCCACTTGAGTAAAGAAAATGATCCCGCCCTCCCTCTACACACATATATATCCCAGGTCCACCTCAGTTCCATTGAGATTGGTGATGTCATACTATCCCTCTTCTTGTTGCAGCTACCTCCTCTTCAACATCGTTCCCACCATCGCAGACATCGTCATAGCTATTGTATACTTCATCACAGCCTTCAACTACATCTTTGGAGTCATTGTGTTCCTGTGTATGGCCCTGTATCTAAGTGAGTGTGTCTGTCATATGCAAACGTGTGTTGTGAAAAACGACATTCAGTACTACTCATTTCTCATATTTACAATACTCTGTGAGTGAGTGAGTGAGTGAGTGAATTGGGTTTAATGCTGCTTTTAACAGTATTCCAGTTAGGCCACACATTTTTTATTTTTCATTTCACAGCCCCCCCCCCCAATACTGAAAAGAAAGAAATTAGAAATAAAAATATTTGACTCCCGCCAGTAATATAGACCCTCTTATAAGAAATTACATGTCTACATCACTATTAGTGATTCAAGAAGACAGGTGCAGTTTTAACTCCAGAGCAGAATGACTTTTATATAAATAAACAAATGATTGACATTTTTTATCGACCTTGTTGAAAAAAGCTGGAATAAATCTGTGAAACATAAAATTAAAGAAAGTGTGGCCTTATATCACAGCATGTCAGCTCAATGTGAGGGGGAAGTCCAAAGTGATGCAGGTCACAGATGTTTACAACTTTGGTGAAACTCACGAGCACGGGAATGATGCTGACAAACTGAGAAACATAATCGGGGTCAATCAGGGCAAACCCACAATCATCACAATCATAGGTTTCTAGCGTGCCAAAGAGTCGCTGCTCTGCACAGTGAATAGAAGCGCTTGGTCGACTGGGCCACCCAGGGCCATCCAGTAATCTGTGATGGTATGTTGAAAGATATGGTTTATGCATTATTCATGGAAATGGGAATGCCTAGTGGTAGAGGTGTCATCATCAGGGTTTGAACACACAAAGTTCTCCCATCACCCAAGGGTGCATACCTCTGATAGTTATTATCCCCCGCCGCGCGAAAGCGCGAAGCGGGGGATATAGTATTCACGACCGTCCGTACGTCCGTCCGTACGTCCCACCTGTTTGTTGCCGCGATATCTCAAGAACTAAACACTGGATTGTCTTCATATTTGGAACTATGGTGTATATACAGACTCCGCAGACACCAGTCGGTTTTGGTGACCTTGATCCCATTTTCAAGGTCACAGCAGACAAATCTGCTTTTAGAGTTGGAAAACGGTGTTGCCGCGATATCTCAAGAACTAAACACTGGATTGTCTTCATATTTGGAACTATGGTGTATATACAGACTCCGCAGACACCAGTCGGTTTTGGTGACCTTGATCCCATTTTCAAGGTCACAGCAGACAAATCTGCTTTTAGAGTTGGAAAACGGTGTTGCCGCGATATCTCAAGAACTAAACACTGGATTGTCTTCATATTTGGAACTATGGTGTATATACAGACACCGCAGACACCAGTCGGTTTTGGTGACCTTGACCCCATTTTCAAGGTCACAGCAGGCAAATCTGCTTTTGGAGTTGGAAAACGGTGTTGCCGCGATATCTCAAGAACTAAACACTGGATTGTCTTCATATTTGGAACTATAGTGTATATACAGACTCCGCAGACACCAGTCGGTTTTGGTGACCTTGATCCCATTTTCAAGGTCACAGCAGGCAAATCTGCTTTTAGAGTTGGAAAACGGTGTTGCCGCGATATCTCAAGAACTAAACCTCTCGATTGTCTTCATATTTGGAACTATGGTGTATATACAGACACCGCAGACACCAGTCGGTTTTGGTGACCTTGACCCCATTTTCAAGGTCACAGCAGGCAAATCTGCTTTTGGAGTTAGAAAACGGTGTTGCCGCAATATCTCAAGAACTAATCGCTGGATTGTCTTCATATTTGGAACTATAGTGTATATACAGACACCGCATACACCTGTCAGATTTGGTGACCTTGACCCCATTTTCAAGGTCACAGCAGGCAAATCTGTTTTTGGAGTTGGAAAACGGTGTTGCCACAATATCTCAAGAACTAATCGCTGGATTGTCTTCATATTTGGTACTATGGTGTATATGGCGGGGGAATATTTCGTCACTCTGTGACAAATACTTGTTTTCTTAAACAGACTCATTACTTGAGTATCACAGAAGACATGTGAGCCCTACTCCATGCAGGAAGTTGATGTGAACCCTAGCATCGCCTCAGTATTGAAGCAGTGTGTAGAGTAAATGATTGCGAGGCTGTGACACATTGCATGAGAAATATGCTATTTGAGGATTGTAATCGCTGGCTTATAAACGTGAACATCCTTTTAAAATTGATCTTCGGCAACCCATAAATGCCACTAACGGGATCGGATGATCAGGCTTGGTGACTTAGTTGATGCATGTCATTGTATCCCAATTGCACAGATAGATGCTTATGATGTCAATCACTGGATTGTCTGGCCCTGATTTGATTATTTACAGACCACTATCATATAGCTGGAATATTGCTGAGTGTGGCATTTAACAACAAACAAGCGAACAAGCATCGCTGGCTTTCCTCTTGGTGAAACCACATCATGGTTTGATTCGTTAATTTAGAAACAGCGACTTCACCGATGCGGGAGTGTAGTGTATGTAAAGCTGGGTGGTATGGACAATGTAAGGGTGTTGGCCAGGTCACCAAATACCCATGGCCCCTTCTTGATGTCTTGGGCCATGATGTGGCTTGAACTTTGCTGAACATGCTAAAAGTGGCAGAAAATAATACTCAGTCAATAAGTAATCTAAAGAAGTTAACAGCACCATCTACTTCCTATTCAAAGCAGCAGAATGTCTTTTAATATAAGATGTCAACGGCAGAGAATAAACAGTCTTGATTATCTGTCTCAATCCATTAGGCATAAAAGACAAAATAGTGATGAAACTTATATGAATGGATCACTAAAAATCAGTTGTGACACCAGGTGTTCACAACCGGGTAAGCATGTCCTGCTGTACCGGTAGTTGTCGCCACTCATACAATATTGGTAAAAGAGTGAGTGTCTGTTTGCTGCACCCAGCAATATTCCTGCCGTACGATGCCGGCCTGTAGACAGTCATCTCTGAACTGATGTTTCCACCTTCCTTCCCAGCATACACCATTCTCATAACTGAATGGAGGACCAAGTACCGCCGTCTCACCAACAAGCTGGACAATGAAGCCAATGGCAAGGCTGTAGACTCGCTGATCAACTTTGAAACTGTAAGTTGATAATCATGTCAGATCTTAGATGTTGGATGCCAGTGATGTATGTCGCCAGTGATGTATGTCGCCAGTGATGTTTGTCGCCAGTGATGGATGTCGCCAGTGATGTATGTCGCCAGTGATGTATGTCACCAGTGATTTATGTGGCCAGTAATGGATGTCGCCAGTGATGAACGTCGCCAGTGATGTATGTCACCAGTGATTTATGTTGCCAGTAATGGATGTAGCCAGTGATGTATGTCGCCAGTGATTTATGTCGCCAGTGAAGGATGTCGCCAGTGATGTATGTCATCAGTGATGGATGTCGCCAGTGATGTATGTCACCAGTGATTTATGTGGCCAGTAATGGATGTCGCCAGTGATGAACGTCGCCAGTGATGGATGTCACCAGTGATATATGTCACCAGTGAAGGATGTCGCCAGTGATGTATGTCACCAGTGATGGATGTCACCAGTGATGGATGTCACCAGTGATGTATGTCATCAGTGATGGATGTCACCAGTGATGGATGTCACCAGTGATGGATGTCACCAGTGATGTATGTCATCAGTGATGGATGTCGCCAGTGATGGATGTCACCAGTGATGGATGTCACCAGTGATGGATGTCACCAGTGATGGATGTCACCAGTGATGTATGTCATCAGTGATGGATGTCGCCAGTGATGGATGTCACCAGTGATGGATGTCACCAGTGATGGATGTCACCAGTGATGGATGTCACCAGTGATGTATGTCATCAGTGATGGATGTCGCCAGTGATGTATGTCACCAGTGATGGATGTCACCAGTGATATATGTCACCAGTGAAGGATGTCGCCAGTGATGTATGTCATCAGTGATGGATGTCGCCAGTGATATATGTCACCAGTGATGTATGTCGCCAGTGATGTATGTCACCAGTGATGTATGTCGCCAGTGATGGATGTCGCCAGTGATGTATGTCACCAGTGATGTATGTCGCCAGTGATGTATGTCACCAGTGATGTATGTCGCCAGTGATGTATGTCACCAGTGATATATGTCGCCAGTGATATATGTCACCAGTGATGGATGTCACTAGTGATGGATGTCGCCAGTGATGTATGTCGACAGTGATGGATGTCACCAGCGAAGGATGTCGCCAGTGATGGATGTCGCCAGTCATGTATATCGCCTGTAATGTATATCGCCTGTGACGGATGTCGCAAGTGATGTATGTCGCCAGTGATGGATGTTGCCAGTGATGTATATCGCCTGTAATGTATATCGCCTGTGATGGATGTCGCAAGTTATGTATGTCGCCAGTGATGGATGTTGCCACTTTGTGTGTTCTTTCCAGTATGTTACATGAATTTCCATGTGAAGGAGATGTTTGGATGACAGCCTTCTGTTATTATACCCATACATTTAACAACTTAGTAAAACATATATATGAAGTGCACATTATCTGCACATAGAATATCAATTTCATGTACCCCACACTATTGGTGATGTGATGCAGTCACCATGACATCACAATCAAATGACATCACTGGTCCCTCTGCCACTGAAGCTGGTTGGCTGTACTTCTTACACTGAAGACACTGCTTCTTACTGATAACAAACTGAAAAGCTGAAAGAATTATTGGAATCTCACCCTCATGTCTTTTTATATCAAATGTAGCAACATTTGTCAAACTTGTTTGAACCTTTATCGACTTGTGTTAGTATATTTGATATCAAAAATTGCTCGGGTGAGATTATGTTTTTAACAGATTCCTTATTGTTGTGGTGTCACTGCAGTTATACAATGTTGTGTGATGACAGGGCTTTGAGATGAAGGTTTGAGAAGTAAGGATAGGATTTTTAGCTGAACAACCTCTTTATTACAATTATGAATGACGTTTTGGTGTAGGTTCTAACAACGTTATCAAACAAGTGAGTCGGTTGATGGTTGAGATTGCCACATCTCCATGAAGACGACAAATAAGTTCTTTGATAGGCATTTAGAAGTTGGAGCAAGCTTGATAACGGTGTTAGAACCTACACCGAAACGTCGCTCTTAATTGTAATAAAGAAGTTGTTCATCCATAAATTCTATCCTACAAAGTACTCCAACTTCTAAATGCCTATCAAGAAGATTTGAGAAAATCTATGATTGGTTGCAGGTAAAGTACTACGGAGCTTCAGACTTTGAAACAGGAAGATACGATACGGCCATCAAGGCTTTTCAGGTGAGTCAAGGTCAGGGTTAAACATTTGTGCTTCAATATGCCTTGATCAGTAATGTTCCTGGTGCCTGAAGGATATATCTAGAATTTCCTGGCAACCCTTGTTATGTTTGTTTATGTTGTAAAGCCGTTGGTAAATGTACATCTGCACAAGTAAACTGGACAAATGTATAGGAAAGGAACAAATGAACTTGCTTTGGATTCAGAAATTATAAAGGGTATTATCACTGTCAATGAAAGGGAAGAAGACACTCTTTGTACATTATCTAGCTCATGGTGAAATGACATAACCGAATTTGAAGAATCAAGAATTTTTCTTGTTGGCACACTTTAAATCCAAAAGTCCCACCTCAACATCTTAATAAGTGCACTATGGCTTGCTGGACAAAAACAATATTTCTATCCCTGACTATTACATGATTATGATGTAGCTCCCGACTACTGCATGTACATTGTTTCTTCCCATATGTAGATGTCCATTAATCTGACATCACAAGCACCTGCTGCAGCTTCAGCTTCTGTGTTTCTAGTCAGCTGAGTGGAAGTCCACGGCAAGCCTCAATCTCCTCAACCTGGGGCAGAACTTCATCGTGAACATCGGCACTCTGACAGGGTCGTTGCTGTGTGCCTACGCCGTCGTGCACGGCCTCAGCTCCCTCAAGTTAACGGTGGGAGACTATGTGCTGTTTGGCACCTACATCGCACAGCTGTATGCTCCCCTCAACTGGCTGGGGACGTACTACAGGTACTGGTGGAGTGTTTACATGTGTCTTCCATGTGTCATTGGACTGTACAGAAGGGTGGGGAGAGGGGTAGTGGTGGCCCAGTCGTCTACGTCAAGGTTGTTTGCTGTGCAGGGTTGCCTCTCATGGGCACACTTTACACACATGCATTATTTGGTTGGAATATTTGCGTTAATTGTTTTAATGAAAATTGGATCTGTAAGTGATTGGTCTGTAGGATTAGCTACACTTGAGGTACGTCGTTAATAACCTCCTACTTACACCCCTCCATCTACGCTGTTTCAGAATGATCCAGCAGGCATTTATTGATATGGAGAACATGTTCGAGCTTCTTGACGAAGACTGTGAGGTTAGTGTTCCTGCAGATTAAATTGAAGTTTAGTGGTGGAAATTCTGGGGGACTCGTATGCTGGTCTATGAGGGACTAAATGGATCAGTGGTCCGGCTGGATGATTTGACTGATTGCATGTCACCGCAACCTGACAGCATGGATCATTGTTCACCATATCAGTCACCAGATTGTCTGAGCAGGCCACCGTCATAGCTGGAATATTGCTGGGCAAATGATTGATCAACTGTCTTAATAAGATGTGGGAATGGCTCTGATTAAACAGCTGATTTGATGGACATGTCACCTACAACAGTATCAAAACTACAGGTTACGTAGCTCTACATCATTTACAAAGAAAACACAGCTTGCCTATCTGTTGAATAAACCTTGTTGCAACTAGACGGAGCCATCCTGTACTGCTATTGTTGTTTCCCCCTCCAGGTCACCGACACCCCTGGTGCCCCGGATCTTGTGCTGAAGGAAGGACAGATCGAGTTCCGTGATGTCAGCTTCCACTATGACCCTGCGTATGTCTCCCCTAAACCATCACTGTCTTTGCTGCTGGTTGTATAACACTGAAGCAGATTTATTTGACCTCTGTGAGGAATCTGAAGGTGCCCAGTACCTCGTGTTTGTGTCCCTGTGTGGAATATCGGGGCAGAATAGGTCACCAGGACCCAATGCTTGCCTTCTGGAGAAGAATGGTTTCCCTGTATGCTTTTCTAGGTCACTAATGTTCCGCCTGCTTGTCTTCCCCTTGGGGATTCCAGAGTTAATGTGTGTCTTGCTCTCAACCACCTGGCGTAGATAACCATTTAGATGTGAAATATTACTACCTACATAGTACTCCCTGTGAAGATCCTGGGTAGAATTTGTCTTCAGCAACCCATGCTTTCCGTGAGAGGTGACTATGCTTGTCATAAGAGGCGACTAACGGGATCGGGCCGTCAGACTTGCTGACTTGGTTGATGTATGTCATTGTATCCCAATCACGTAGATCGATGCTCATGATGTCAATTACTGGATTGTCTGGTCCAGACTTGATTATTTATAGACCGCCGTCATACAGCTGAAATATTGCTGAGTGCGGCACTGAACAAACAAACAAACCTACATAGTACAAGTAATTCCCTCCCTAATTTGCATGTGTTCACATTGTGTATCTCCGTTGTCAACCCTGTGGTATGTGACTATTGTTCCCCTTTTAAAAATCAGAAATTTACAATTTCTCTCCTACATGTTACCCATTTGTGTGTTTGCCATGTCAGGAAGCAGATACTGAAAAACATCAGTTTCACTGTGCCGCCCGGACAGACATTTGCTTTGGTGAGTGTGGACTGCAGATACCAACTTCTTGAAACTTATTAATTTTGCCAGAAATGCTAATCTTTACCCAATATAGTGTTAAAGTAAACAATCAAAAAACAAATCTATCTTCGTGTAATTTTAAGATTTTTAAAGGAAATTTATTTTTTGCTCATCTGACTGAAAGTCATTTTTGAAGAAGGGAGACATATCAAAACATTGCATGCTTCCATGATGGTTGAAAAATGTTCAAGTTCATTGAGTTGATAAATCACCCTCAGCTTGTTCACTGTGGTCACGAATTCTGATAAAAATGCACCATAACTTTCCCACATTTTGTCTGTTGTGTCCTAACAATGATAGGGAAGATGATAACAATCCACCCTCTCACACATCCACTCACAAACATATTGACCAAGTCACTGACACATCCACTCACAAACATATCCACCAAGTCACTGACACATCCACTCACAAACATATTGACCAAGTCACTGACACATCCACTCACATATATATCCACCAAGTCACTGACACATCCACTCACAAACATATTGACCAAGTCACTGACACATCCACTCACAAACATATTGACCAAGTCACTGACACATCCACTCACAAACATATCGACCAAGTCACTGACACATCCACTCACAAACATTGACCAAGTCGCTGACACATCCACTCACAAACATATCCACCAAGTCACTGACACATCCACTCACAAACATATCCACCAAGTCACTCACCCATCCATTAACAAATATATAGACCAAGTCACTGACACATCCACTCACAAACATATCGACCAAGTCACTGACACATACACTCACAAACATATCGACCAAGGCACTGACAGATCCACTCACAAACATAACGACCAAGTCACAAACACATCCACTCACAAACATATCCACCAAGTCACTGACACATCCACTCACAAACATATTGACCAAGTCACTGACACATCCACTCACAAACATAACGACCAAGTCACTGACACATCCACTCACAAACATATTGACCAAGTCACTGACAGATCCACTCACAAACATATCGACCAAGTCACTGACACATCCACTCACAAACATATCGACCAAGTCACTGACACATCCACTCACAAACATATCGACCAAGTCACTGACACATCCACTCACAAACATATTGACCAAGTCGCTGACACATCCACTCACAAACATATTGACCAAGTCACTGACACATCCACTCACAAACATATCCACCAAGTCACTCACCCATCCATTAACAAATATATAGACCAAGTCACTGACACATACACTCACAAACATATCGACCAAGTCACTGACAGATCCACTCACAAACATATCGACCAAGTCACTGACACATCCACTCACAAACATATCGACCAAGTCACTGACAGATCCCCTCACAAACATATTGACCAAGTCACTGACACATCCACTCACAAACATAATGACCAAGTCACTGACACATCCACTCACAAACATATCGACAAAGTCACTGACACATCCCCTCACAAATATATAGACCAAGTCACTGACACATCCACTAACAAACATATCGACCAAGTCACTGACACATCCACTCACAAACATATCGACAAAGTCACCGACACATCCACTCACAAACATATCGACCAAGTCGCTGACACATCCACTCACAAACATATCCACCAAGTCACTGACACATCCACTCACAAACATATCCACCAAGTCACTCACCCATCCATTAACAAATATATAGACCAAGTCACTGACACATCCACTCACAAACATATCGACCAAGTCACTGACACATACACTCACAAACATATCGACCAAGTCACTGACAGATCCACTCACAAACATATGGACCAAGTCACTGACAGATCCTCTCACAAACATATCGACCAAGTCACTGACACATCCACTCACAAACATATCCACCAAGTCACTGACACATCCACTCACAAACATATCAACCAAGTCACTGACACATCCACTCACAAACATATCGACAAAGTCACTGACACATCCCCTCACAAATATATAGACCAGTCACTGACACATCCACTAACAAACATATCGACCAAGTCACTGACACATCCACTCACAAACATATCGACCAAGTCACTGACAGATCCTTTCACAAACATCGACCAAGTCACTAACACATCCATTCACAAACATATCGACAAAGGCACTGACAGATCCACTAACAAACATATCGACCAAGTCACTGACACATCCCCTCACAAACATATAGACCAAGTCACTGACACATCCACTCACAAACATATCGACCAAGTCACAAACACATCCACTCACAAACATATCGACCAAGTCACTGACAGATCCACTCACAAACATCGACCAAGTCACTAACACATCCATTCACAAACATATCGACCAAGGCACTGACAGATCCACTCACAAACATATCGACCAAGTCACCGACACATCCACTCACAAACATTGACCAAGTCGCTGACACATCCACTCACAAACATATCCACCAAGTCACTGATACATCCACTCACAAACATATCCACCAAGTCACTCACCCATCCATTAACAAATATATAGGCCAAGTCACTGACACATACACTCACAAACATATCGACCAAGTCACTGACAGATCCACTCACAAACATATCGACCAAGTCACTGACACATCCACTCACAAACATAGCGACCAAGTCACTGACAGATCCCCTCACAAACATATGGACCAAGTCACTGACACATCCACTCACAAACATAATGACCAAGTCACTGACTCATCCACTCACAAACATATAGACCAAGTCACTGACACATCCACTCACAAACATATCGACGAAGTCACAAACACATCCACTCACAAACATATCGACCAAGTCACTGACAGATCCACTCACAAACATATCGACCAAGTCACTAACACATCCATTCACAAACATATCGACCAAGGCACTGACAGATCCACTCACAAACATATCGACCAAGTCACCGACACATCCACTCACAAACATTGACCAAGTCGCTGACACATCCACTCACAAACATATCCACCAAGTCACTGACACATCCACTCACAAACATATCCACCAAGTCACTCACCCATCCATTAACAAATATATAGACCAAGTCACTGACACATCCACTCACAAACATATCGACCAAGTCACTGACACATACACTCACAAACATATCGACCAAGTCACTGACAGATCCACTCACAAACATATCGACCAAGTCACTGACACATCCACTCACAAACATATCGACCAAGTCACTGACAGATCCCTTCACAAACATATGGACCAAGTCACTGACACATCCACTCACAAACATAATGACCAAGTCACTGACACATCCACTCACAAACATATCGACAAAGTCACTGACACATCCCCTCACAAATATATAGACCAAGTCACTGACACATCCACTAACAAACATATCGACCAAGTCACTGACACATCCACTCACAAACATTTCGACCAAGTTAATGACACATCCACTCACAAACATATCGACAAAGTCACCGACACATCCCCTCACAAATATATAGACCAAGTCACTGACACATCCACTCACAAACATATCGACCAAGTCACAAACACATCCACTCACAAACATATCGACCAAGTCACTGACAGATCCACTCACAAACATCGACCAAGTCACTAACACATCCATTCACAAACATATCGACAAAGGCACTGACAGATCCACTAACAAACATATCGACCAAGTCACTGACACATCCCCTCACAAACATATCGACCAAGTCACTGACACATCCACTCACAAACATATCGACCAAGTCACAAACACATCCACTCACAAACATATCGACCAAGTCACTGACACATCCACTCACAAACATATGGACCAAGTCACTGACACATCCACTCACAAACATATCGACCAAGTCATTGACACATCCACTCACAAACATATCGACCAAGTCACTGACACATTCACTCACAAACATATTGACCAAGTCACCGACACATCCACTCACAAACATATCTACCAAGTCATTGAAACATCCACGCACAAACATATCGACCAAGTCACTGACACATCAACTCACAAACATATCGACCAAGTCACTGACACATCCACTCACAAACATATCGACCAAGTCACTGACAGATCCACTCACAAACATATCGACCAAGTCATTGACACATCCACTCACAAACATATCGACCAAGTCACTGACACACCCACTCACAAACATATCGACCAAGTCACTGTCTCATCCACTCACAAACATATCGACCAAGTCACTGACACATCCACTCACAAACATATCGACCAAGTCTCTGACACATCCACTCACAAACATATCTACCAAGTCATTGAAACATCCACTCACAAACATATTGACCAAGTCGCTGACACACCCACTCACAAACATATCGACCAAGTCACTGTCTCATCCACTCACAAACATATCGACCAAGTCACTGACACATCCACTCACAAACATATCGACCAAGTCGCTGACACATCCACTCACAAACATATCTACCAAGTCATTGAAACATCCACTCACAAACATATCAACCAAGTCGCTGACACATCCACCCATTCACCCTTTCACCCATCCACCTACTCTCCCACTCACTCACCCATCCAACAATCCACCCAGTCTCCCACTCACCCATCCACCCAGTCTCCCTCTCACCCACCCACTTACTCAATCATATCCACCCATCCACCCACTCACCCACTCACCAATCCACCTACTCAATCATTTCCCATCCACCCCGTCTCCCACTCACTGCCTCTGTCTGTCTGTCTGTGTTCAGGTGGGCCACACAGGAAGTGGAAAGAGCACAGTGATCCGGCTGCTGTTCCGCTTCTATGATGTCAACAAGGGAACTGTATTTATTGATGGACAGGATATTTCCCAGGTAGACTCACATGTGTTTATAGATGGACAGGATGTATCCCAGGTAGACTCACATGTGTTTATAGATGGACAGGATATATCCCAGGTAGATTCACGTGTTTATAGATGACAGGATATATCCCAGGTAGATTCACATGTGTTTATAGATGGACAGGATATATCCCAGGTAAAATCACATGTGTTTATAGATGACAGGATATATCCCAGGTAGACTCACATGTGTTTATAGATGGACAGCATATATCCCAGGTAGACTCACATGTGTTTATAGATGACAGGATATATCCCAGGTAGACTCACATGTGTTTATAGATGGACAGGATATATCCCAGGTAGACTCACATGTGTTTATAGATGACAGGATATATCCTAGGTAGACTCACATGTGTTTATAGATGACAGGATATATCCTAGGTAGACTCACATGTGTTTATAGATGGACAGGATGTATCCTAGGTAGACTCACATGTGTTTATAGATGACAGGATATATCCTAGGTAGACTCACATGTGTTTATAGATGACAGGATATATCCCAGGTAGACTCACATGTGTTTATAGATGGACAGGATATATCCTAGGTAGACTCACATGTGTTTATAGATGACAGGATGTATCCTAGGTAGACTCACATGTGTTTATAGATGACAGGATATATCCTAGGTAGACTCACATGTGTTTATAGATGGACAGGATGTATCCCAGGTAGACTCACATGTGTTTATAGATGGACAGCATATATCCCAGGTAGACTCACATGTGTTTATAGATGGACAGGATGTATCCTAGGTAGACTCACATGTGTTTATAGATGGACAGGATGTATCCTAGGTAGACTCACATGTGTTTATAGATGGACAGGATGTATCCTAGGTAGACTCACATGTGTTTATAGATGACAGGATATATCCCAGGTAGACTCACATGTGTTTATAGATGGACAGGATGTATCCTAGGTAGACTCACATGTGTTTATAGATGGACAGGATGTATCCTAGGTAGATTCACATGTGTTTATAGATGGACAGGATGTATCCTAGGTAGACTCACATGTGTTTATAGATGGACAGGATGTATCCTAGGTAGACTCACATGTGTTTATAGATGGACAGGATGTATCCTAGGTAGACTCACATGTGTTTATAGATGACAAGATATATCCCAGGTAGACTCACATGTGTTTATAGATGGACAGGATATATCCCAGGTAGACTCACATGTGTTTATAGATGGACAGCATATATCCCAGGTAGACTCACATGTGTTTATAGATGACAGGATATATCCTAGGTAGACTCACATGTGTTTATAGATGGACAGGATGTATCCTAGGTAGACTCACATGTGTTTATAGATGGACAGGATGTATCCTAGGTAGACTCACATGTGTTTATAGATGGACAGGATATATCCCAGGTAGACTCACATGTGTTTATAGATGGACAGGATGTATCCTAGGTAGACTCACATGTGTTTATAGATGACAGGATATATCCTAGGTAGACTCACATGTGTTTATAGATGGACAGGATATATCCCAGGTAGACTCACATGTGTTTATAGATGGACAGCATATATCCCAGGTAGACTCACATGTGTTTATAGATGACAGGATATATCCTAGGTAGACTCACATGTGTTTATAGATGGACAGCATATATCCCAGGTAGACTCACATGTGTTTATAGATGACAGGATATATCCTAGGTAGACTCACATGTGTTTATAGATGGACAGGATGTATCCTAGGTAGACTCACATGTGTTTATAGATGGACAGCATATATCCCAGGTAGACTCACATGTGTTTATAGATGACAGGATATATCCTAGGTAGACTCACATGTGTTTATAGATGGACAGGATGTATCCTAGGTAGACTCACATGTGTTTATAGATGACAGGATATATCCTAGGTAGACTCACATGTGTTTATAGATGGACAGGATGTATCCTAGGTAGACTCACATGTGTTTATAGATGGACAGGATGTATCCTAGGTAGACTCACATGTGTTTATAGATGACAGGATATATCCCAGGTAGACTCACATGTGTTTATAGATGACAGGATATATCCCAGGTAGACTCACATGTGTTTATAGATGACAGGATATATCCCAGGTAGACTCACATGTGTTTATAGATGACAGGATATATCCTAGGTAGACTCACATGTGTTTATAGATGGACAGGATGTATCCTAGGTAGACTCACATGTGTTTATAGATGACAGGATATATCCTAGGTAGACTCACATGTGTTTATAGATGGACAGGATGTATCCTAGGTAGACTCACATGTGTTTATAGATGACAGGATATATCCTAGGTAGACTCACATGTGTTTATAGATGGACAGGATGTATCCTAGGTAGACTCACATGTGTTTATAGATGACAGGATATATCCCAGGTAGACTCACATGTGTTTATAGATGGACAGGATGTATCCTAGGTAGACTCACATGTGTTTATAGATGGACAGGATATATCCCAGGTAGACTCACATGTGTTTATAGATGATCCCAGGTTGACTCACATGTGTGTTTGAAGATTAAACCAGGCCCCCTCAGTGATACAGAGATTGTTTCCATCTTGTAGGTGACCCAGAAGTCGCTGAGGAAGCAGATAGGCGTGGTCCCCCAGGACACAGTGCTGTTCAACAATGACATCAGGTGCGTACAACAGGCCTGTAGTATTTGTAACACAGCTGCTTTAGGTAACAAAGGGACAGTTGGGGACACAGTTTGGGGGGATTTTAGTTAACACATATTGTGGCTACTTTTGGATCATGTAACCCTTTGCTTCTTTCATCTGGAGACACAACCTGGGGCATGATACCTATGGAATATATTATCTCAATTACAGATGTGATATGGTTTGGTTTAGAAATGCATTGAGTCCTGTACCAACCTGAATCTGTGGTGTAGTGGATAGAGCATCTGCCCAGAGATCAGTGGTGATCCCCTGATCGCATCTTACCAAAAGACGTTAAAAGATGGTAATTGTTGTTACCCTTCCTGGCGCTTATCATTAAGCGAATAAAACAAGGAATGGTCGACTTGAAGTCAGTACACTGTGTCTGAGTGGGATTTGGGGGCACGGGTGGCCCAGTCGTCTAAGGCGCCGCGATTCGCTGTGCAGAGTTGCGTCGCTTCGGCATGCCAGAAACCTATGATTGTGGGTTTGAATCCCGGTTTGCCCGAATTATGTTTCTAGGTTTGTCAGCACCATACCCGTGCTCGTGGGTTTCACCAAAGTGGTAAACGTTTGAAACCTGCATCACTTCGGGCTTTCCTCCCACATTAAGCTGACACTCCGCGATATAACTGGAATAATGTTAAAAGCGGCGTTAAACCCAACTCACTCACTCACTGAGTGGCATTTCCATGTTGAACTCTAGCATGGTATCTCAATGGGTCTAACAATAAAACCGGCATTAGTCCGGTCTAGTGCTAGCAAACACACACACATGCATGCACATGCACACAGACATGTATGCACATGCACATGCACACAGACATGTATGCACATCGCTATATAAGTGCAACAACCGTGAAAACGGTCGTCACTTGCATTAACTTGGTGGCGCTATATGTCATTTACAGTATTTCCAAATCATTAATTAAAATTTGTTATGTTTCAGATATAACATCCGGTATGGCAAGGTTGATGCAGCCGACAATGATGTGTATGAAGCTGCTGCCTTCGCTGACATCCACCACAGAATACTGGGTTTCCCTAATGGTGAGTGTACCACTGGGTATAGCAGGACTGTAGTATCTCTCTCACATTAATGTACAGTTGAACCTCGTTGTGTCCAACTCGTGGGGACATGGATAAAAAGTTAGAGTTATCAGGGGTTGGAGACATCAGGGAATGTCATGCTTAATTTAGACACTTAGGTCTCTCAAATGAGTTCGAGACATCTGGGAAAGTGAAACATCCAAGTTCGACACGAGGTTCGACTGTATGTCATTCTGCTGCTGAACCAACTAGCTGGAACTTGAATGTCCTCGGCAAATCAAACCTTTAAGAGTTTCAGATCTCATTTTCAATATGGCCATTCTGGCAGCCATATTGAACTTAGCTGTCTTCTGTGTTCAGGTGTCAATGTTTCCGATCTAATCCTAAATCTGGTCATTGCCCTTAAATCTTCTTGGAACTTTCTCCAGCAATGAAACAGAAACTTCTGGGGGTGTTGACGTTGGTTTGATGTTAAGGACACATGACACTTGTTGAACACACTATTAGTATCACAACTGGTTATGGATAGTTGATGGTTGAGGAATTTTATCAAGTGATAACAGCTGAAATACAGGATTTGTGCACTGATGCAATAGATCGAGTACACTTTGAATTATTATTAGTTTTTGTTGTTTAACGCCGCACTCAGCAATATTCCAGCTATATGGTGGTGGTCTGTAAATAATCGAGTCTGGGCCAGACAATCCCGTGATTGTCATCATGAGTATTGATCCATGCAATTGGGATCGATGACATGCATCAATCATGACAGCGAGCCCAATCCTGTTAGTCGCCTCTTACAACAAGCATAGTCCCCTGTTACGGCAAGCATGGGTTGCTGAAGAACTATTCTACCCCGGATCTTCACAGGTCTTATGCTGTCAGTTGACATACATACTGTTGTTGTACACACTGTTATGATGTTGGCAGGCTATGAGACGGTAGTTGGGGAGCGAGGTCTGAAGCTGAGTGGGGGAGAGAAGCAGAGAGTGGCCATCGCCAGGACCATGCTGAAAGCTCCTGCCATCGTGCTGCTGGATGAGGTACAAGCCAGGCTACCACAAACACAGTGAACCCCACAACATTAGCTACAAGACAGTCAACCCCACGACATTAGTAGCTACAACACAGTCAACCCCATGACATTAGTTACAACACAGTCAACCCCATAACATTAGCTACAACGTGGAACCCCATGACATTAGTAGCTACAACACAGTCAACCCCACGACATTAGCTACAACACAGTGAACCCCAGGACATTAGTAGCTACAACACAGTGAACACCACAACATAAGCTACAACACAGTCAACCCCACGGCATTAGCTACAACACAGTCAACCCCACGGCATTAGCTACAACACAGTGAACACCACGACATTAGCTACAACACAGTGAACACCACGACATTAGCTACAACACAGTGAACACCACGACATTAGTAGCTACAACACAGTCAACCCCATAACATTAGCTACAACACAGTGAACCCCACGGCATTAGTAGCTACAACACAGTCAACCCCACGGCATTAGTAGCTACAACACACTGAACCCCACGACATTAGTAGCTACAACACAGTGAACACCACAACATAAGCTACAACACAGTGAACCCCACGACATTAGTAGCTACAACACAGTGAACCCCACAACATTAGTAGCTACAACAAAGTGAACCCCACGACATTAGCTACAACAGTGGACCCGTTGACGTTAGCTATAACAAAGTGAACTCCATGACATTAGTAGCTACAACACAGTGAACCCCACGACATTAGTAGCTACAACACAGTGAACCCCACAACATTAGTAGCTACAACACAGTGAACACCACAACATAAGATACAACACAGTGAACCCAACGACATTAGCTACTACAGTGGACCCGTTGACATTAGCTATAACATAGTGAACTCCATGACATTAAATTCAAGTCACCCCCATGACCCCCGCTGCAATACAGTGAATCCCATGACACCAGCTACAACACAGTGAACCCATGACATTAGCTACAACACAGTGAAGATCATGACATTAGCTACAACACAGTGAATCCCATGACATAAGCTAGAACACAGTGAAGACCATGACATTAGCCACAACACGGTGAAGACCATGACATTAGCTACAACACAGTAAAGACCATGACATTAGCCACAACACTGTGAAGACCATGACATTAGCTACAACACAGTGAAGATCATGACATTAGCTACAACACAGTGAATCCCATGACATAAGCTACAACACAGTGAAGACCATGACATTAGCCACAACACGGTGAAGACCATGACATTAGCTACAACACAGTAAAGACCATGACATTAGCCACAACACTGTGAAGACCATGACATTAGCTACAACACAGTGAAAATCATGACATTAGCTACAACACAGTGAATCCCATGACATTAGCTACAACACAGTGAAGACCATGACATTAGCCACAACCCAGTGAACCCCATGACATAAGCTACAACAGTGGACCCCATGATATTAGCTACAACACATTGAAGACCATGACATTAGCTACAACAGTGGACCCCATGATATTAGCTACAACACATTGAAGACCATGACATAAGCTACAACAGTGGACCCCATGATATTAGCTACATCACATGCAACCCCTGCTATTCACGTGTGCAGGATAACAGGTGGGACATTGCATGACCTTGATGCTACTCCCCATGTTTGCAGGCTACTTCAGCTCTGGACACGAAGACGGAGCGGAACATCCAAGCATCCCTGGCCCGAGTGAGTGAGAACAAGACCACACTGGTGGTCGCCCATCGACTCTCCACCGTCATCAACGCCAACCAGATCCTCGTGCTGGACGAGGGGGAGATTATCGAGCGGGGAACGTAAGTTGAGAACTTTTATTCTTATGGTAATGCACAGGTCCCCATTTCACAAAGCCTTCTCAGAGTGACAGCTATCATGAGCCTATATTTAAGAAGAGGAGTTAAGATAATAGTAGCCTTACGATAATAGTAGCTGTAAGATCCACTTGTTGAAAGAAACCCAATCTTGAACATTACCCTAGACTCAGAGTGGAATCATCATTAAACTGTATGCTGAACATCATACTTCATATAATCGTCTCAGCCACTGCAAATAGCTCTACAGAGTGGCGTCGGTTGAGCCCGCGAGAAACCTATGATGGTGGGTTCGAATCCTGATACCCCCGATTATGTTTCTAGGTTTGTCAGCACCATACCTGTGCTCTTAGGTTTCACCAAAGTGGTAAACGTTGGAGACCTGCATCACTTCTGGCTTTCCTCCCACATTGAGCTGACACGCTGTGCTATAACTCACTCACTCACTCATGTTAAAGATCCAGTTGGGTTTCCAGGTTAGAATAGGCAGGGTGCAACCATGTCAACCATGCTCCTGGTTAAATCAAGCTGCTTAAGTCAAGCCCTGTACATCACACTATATGCCCCAAGTTTATCGGTTGACAATATATAGAGAATCTCACCCGAGTGTCTTTTGATGTCAAATATATCAACACGAGTTGATAAAAGTGGAAAAGCTCTGAGGCTTGCCGTGGAGTTTTTCCACTGTTATCAACAAGTGCTGATATGTTTGATATCAAAAGGTACTCGGGTGAGACTATATTCATCACCCAACATCATTCTTCTAACTTTTTCAGTATGTAGACAGTAATAAGAAGTGTCTTAAGTGTAAAAAGTACTGCTAACAGCTTCAGTAGCTGAGCCATTAGTGATGTCATTTGATTGTGACATCATAGCTACAATGGTCTGCAAAGCATTGTGATGCAATTGCATTGCAATGACATCTACAGTGTAGATATCTGTTGATCTCACCCGAGCGATATCTCCCGTGGGAGCCAGTTGTGGATAATAAATAATTTTGACCATTATCCTACTTGTTCAACATGTGTTGTCATGGTTACAGGCACGATGAACTTCTGGAGAGTGAAGGTGCCTATTATGAAATGTGGCAGCAACAACTCACCAAAACCGAGGAAGGTGATGAGAATGGTGATGAGAATGGTGCCAGCAACGGCGGTGATGGCAATGGTGACGCCAAAAGCTGAAGGCCAACTGAAAGATCCACACCGGTGTTGTACATCTTGAAGGTCCACAACAGCGGTGTACATCTTGAAGATCCACAGCGGTGTTGAAAATAACTTGAGTTCTCACAGAATGTACATTGTGTATGTGGTTGTTTTTGTATTTGAAATGCAAAAAGCGTTCTTGCCATTACAATTGTGATAGCTTTTAGCTTTTGCCAAATTGTGATGACTGCACATCGACAGAGAGGGCAGATAATGTGGGTGTGTACAGCATGATACAGTGGACCCAGACACTACTAACATTGAGAAATGTACTGCTAGCTTCCACATAAAAACCTTGTGGCATATATACCTGGGTATATTAATTGTACTTGTGGCCAACATGTAAAATGTGCAGTGTTTTTAAAAAAGTATTTAAGCCAAGGCTAAAAAATGATCTGATGGAACAGAAATCCTACACTTCTGAAGTAATAACATTGTTGTTTGATGGCCTGGAAGGGGAGAGTAATAACATTGTTGTTGATGGCCTGAAAGGGGAGAGTAATAACATTGTTGTTGATGGCCTGGAAGGGGAGAGTAATAACATTGTTGTTTGATGGCCTGGAAGGGGAGAGTTTGTCCTCGATCCAAAGATTCCTCGTTAATAGTAAACGGCCTGACTGTCTTGTGTGGTTTCACTGTAGACATCATCTTATGAATAATGAAGTAACCAAAGAAACATCAGTGTTCCTTTTAGATGTGAATGTCCGAATAGCTTCTATTGGCCACATCATTTTTATTCTATGTTTGACTGAATGTTTGGTGACAGATTAACAACAGAAACTTGCAATCAAGTGTGAATAGATTAGTGTTTTTAAATACTTCTTTGGACATGTGGGTCTGTTGTGTTTTTAAATAGTACATCGTCCTGAGGCAGAGGAGTAAGCTGACTATAAATGTCCAGTTTCCAGCCTTGCCGAACTAGGCTGGAATGATGGAGTAATGTTTGGCTGTACAAACGAGTCTATGCATTGTCCAATCTTGTAACAAAATCGTCATCTGGTTCGTAAACTGCCTTGCAGATTTGGGTAGATTGCAGGATTAGTAAAGCATGTATGATTGTACACAATTGTTTATTGATTACAAAACTGTTTATTGCCTGAGAACCAATTATTTTATTTTTTTTAGCCTTAGTATCAACATAAATCTTTTCATGTTCTTATCAAAGTGCTCATGTGGTTCCCAAAGTAAGACCCGTTTTATTACAATATAGATCTTGATTATTGATCAGATCATCTTCACTGGGCGCTGCCATTTTGTTTGAAGCAAGTGATATGACAGGTGGAATCTGATTGGTCGATAGGAGAGGCATAGAAGGGACATAACTTGTAATAGCCAATGATGCTGCTATGATCGAGACCAGAAATTCCAGCGTAGTTCGGCAAGAATGGAAACTGGACTTTTACTTTTACTCTGACCGGTTGATCAGTAAAGAAACCAATAAGACAATGGCCCAAGTTATTTGTTGTTGAATGCAATGTATGATGTTTTCATCATTATTGCTTGTTTATGTCAGGAAGTTTTTGTTTGAACCAGACTGTATACTCAATAGATATTATTAGATTTTATTTGAAATTTTCTTACTTTGAGGGAAATATTTCTCTCTTGATGAAATGATTTTACATCAGTCAGGGAGGTTGAATCAGGAAGTGATTCCCGTCATCTGGATCTTTGCAAGGATTTGATCTGAGGTTTTCTTGACACAGATTTAATGATATCCACACCTACTCCTACCCCTAGCTCTGACACTGAACATACAGTAGCCAGTAGCCTGACCATACAGCAGCCTGACCATACAGTAGCCTGACCATACAGCAGCCAGTAGCCTGACTATACAGTAGCCAGTAGCCTGAACATACAGTAGCCAGTAGCCTGACCATCACTGTCAGACATGAAGCAATGCAGCATGGAAATAGCGGCCTAGCTGGTAGTTTTTCTTTTGGGGGGGGTCGTATTCTTTGAAACCCCCAATCACGCATATCTAGTAATATATTTGGAACTTTGAAGTTCGAAGATCCGATATTTGATAAGAAAAATATCCTAAATAAATTTTCTCTAATCACTACTTATCGTCAATCACTGGCAGGTCTGTGAATCAACAAAGACAGAAATCAAACTTATTTTGTATCATGCAGGAGGTATGGATGACAGTCTTGTTGGATTTTATGATGTTTTATTGGCAAACCAGAACATTTTATCTTACCATTATAGATCAGATTGCTTACACAGGCCTAGAATGCACATTAAGTCAAAGAACATTAAAGTTGTTTTGATCTCTTGTAAAATTAATATCAATTTGTTTTGTAATTTTCAGCTCCTTGTGTTCTGTACATTTCTCAGTGTGATGAAAATCTTATTTTTGTTTGAAAATATGCTGTTAGAGACATGAAGGGGATATCCAAATAGGACAACAGATCTGATGAGGACGCGGATGTGTAATTTGGTAATGAGTGCGTGGATGATGACACTGAAGGATTAGCACATCGTGGTTACCCCTGAAGGTAACTGAGGCTCAGAGTGTGAAAAGTCACCATGGATGCATTCTGAAAAATGCAGACCAATGGGTGTGCATGAGTAATGGGAGACAAAGTAGACAACACGCCATGCTTTTTTAACTTTATGTTTCACGGATTTATTCCAGCTTTTCCACACAAGGAAATAAATTGTTTTATCTGAAAGTCATTCTGCTGTGGAGTTAACACTGCAGCTGTCTTCTTGAATCACTGAGAGTGATGTAGACACGGAGTCTATACATAACATTTTATATTGTATAAGGGTTCTATATTACTGGCGGGAGACAATAAAAATAAATAATTTTGTATTTTATTTATTTCTCTTCCAGCTGCTTTTCTGTTGGGGTAGCAGATCTTATACTGGAATGTGACACGATTACTGTATAATTGAGAATTTGGCCATAAATGTTTTGTCTACTTTGTCATCCATCAACTTTTCTAGAAACAGCCATGATGACATTGAGGCTCAGTGACAGCCATGATAACATCTTACTGCGATAATCCTGCAGGGAAATGTGAATCGTTTTATCTTATGTTCTTTTATCTGAAGATATTAGTCAAGAATATTTAAGCATGTCTTTTGTTAAACCCTGATTTGTTCCTTGTGATATGATTTTAAATTGCCTGGTTTTATATGTCCTGTGTTTCACCATTGTCACATCATGTTCTACATTGTAGGTAAAAAGGAATATATGAAAGAAAACACTGCAGTGAACTAGGCAGATTAGTATGTCGGAAGAGATTGTATGTTATCCCAGAAATCCACACTCATGATCTCATCTTGTGTGTCTTGTCGTGCATTCGTTGTCAACCCAGGAAGATCTGGGTTAGAATCGGTCTTCAGTAACTTTATTATCGTAAGAGGCGAATTACACGATTGTGTGGTCAGGCTCTCTGACTTGGTTGTGTTGCAGTATTGTGTCGACCTATGCTCATGATGTTGTTCACTAGATTATCTGGTCCAGATTTGATTATTTCGAGTGTCATTACATATCTGGAACAATGCTGTTTTAAAAAAACAAAGGAAGAAGCTGACAAACTTTAGATACCAATGGTAAGGAACAAATATCCAAGTTAACCGTTGACATCCAAGTTAACCATTGACATCCAAGTTAACCGTTGACATCCACTGTCAGCCATTGCTACATGCAGGTCGTTCAGGGAAGTTTGGCGTTGTTTACTTGATAACCCTGCACTGCAGGTGGAGTAGATAGGTGGAGGGAACGGGGTAGTTTTATATGGATGTTTGACATGGGTAGAAGGTAGTAGTGGGCATGATGGACACAATGGCATCATGGTTCATAAAGATTGCTGGGAATTTGCTGGAGACAAATGGCATTAGGACATCTTCATGATTTTGTCAACTTTTGATAGGACATTCAATTCTTCTATTTCTCTACCAAACTTGAAAATATATGTGGGACATTTTGGATTGCAATTAATATCGAGGAAACGAATCGATCTGAATGTTCTGAGGTTGAAGGTATCCTTTACTCACACGAGCCAATGTTGTGTACACAATATATATATGTATTTATTCTACAGGCACATGACACAAACATCATATTAAATCATGTTATTATATAATAGAAGCTATTAGAGGGTCTTGATTGGGGGTGTTACAAGTTAGTAGTCGGTCAGATTTTAGGCCATTGGTCCATTATTTGTCTTAGCTTGGTCAGTAAATAAAACACTCAAATAGAGTGAGTGAGTGAGTTTGGTTTTACGACATGGGTACAATGTGTGAAGCCCATTTCTGGTGTCCCTCGCCGTGATATTGCTGGAATATTGCTAAACATGGTGTAAAACCATACTCACTCACTCACTTCCCGACCGCCCCCACTCAAATAGAGGACAAGCTGTTGAATCTAAAATGCAAATCATCTCAATGCGAATGTGGATCGTCAGTATATCTGTAGGGAAACATGGGAACATCTGGTTCTACTTTCATTTCATTATTCACAGTTCATGTTTTGCAAATACCAAACATGTATTGTGTCGTTAGATCTATGTTTATACAACTTTTATGAGATTTTAGCATGATTGCGATAAACGGTAAAAGTTTTAATTTTAGCTTAGCAGTTTTTATGGACATTTTACATATATCTTTTACATTAAAAATTTAACACATCTTATGTTTACTATATTGGTTTTTAAGGTGTTTTTGTCTGGACCCTCATTCATGTAAGTGTCTATTCCTGTACATGTTTGTGTCATGTGACTGAGTTTTATCACTATTATTCCTATTATTAGAAGTTTTATTCCTATTGTCTCATCAACTGCATTCAACACATATAGCAGTACTCTCTCCTGAGGATTCCTATTGCAATGTCATGGCACTGTTCGTGTTGTTGAAATACATGTGTATATCATCAATTGACATCCAAACTGATAAAGTGAAACTCTCCTCCTCTGATAACTCAGGCCAACTTAGACTGATGTTGGTTGTGGTCTGATGCTTACATTCAGACCCGTGAAGAATCCAGGGTAGACTATGTCTTCAGCAACCCATGCTTTCCGTAAAATGTGACTAACGAGATTGGGTGGTCAGGCTCGCTGACTTGGTTGATGTATGTCATTGTATCCCAATTTTGTGGATTGCTGCTCATGATGTCAATCATTGGATTGTCTGGTCCAGACTCGATTATTTACAGACCGCTGTCATATAGCTGGAATATTGCTGAGTGCGGCGTTAAACAACAAACAAACAAACAATCAAACAAGGCTTTCATTTAAACGAGGGTTTATCTCATCAGTCTACATGATGTTCACTGCTGTTGAAACAAAAACTATACCAGTTGTAAAATCATTTATCATAGGGAGGGGTGTGGTTGGGGGATGTGTGATTCTTTGATTTGATACCTATTATTTTTAATTTGGAGTCAAAGACTTTTTGTGGATCGATATGTAGGCTATTAATGTTCATCGATACAGTTTTTGTGTAAAAAGGCTGAATTTAAAGGTATGAAATTTCCATTTGGTACCTCTAAACTGAGCTAATTGACACCACAACACATTTGGACCAGTCAGTATCAAGCATTGTTCAATGTCATTGTACTTTATCTGAAAAGAATAGGAATTTCTTGTTCGGACAACAGTGAGGATTGGAGACTGGAATTTTGATTTAGGAATTTTATTAGTGTTTGAATAACAATAAAATATTTCATGAACACATGCCGCTATAAATGTTGAATGCAGTGTTAATGAAATCGAACTCTTACAATACTTTATGTTGATATGAATATTATGTTATGATGGATATAGTACTGATTTACAGTGTCTGAATAAAAATTCAAACCATCATTAAATTTGTATACAGTATTTTACAGTGTATGTGTATGCAATGAACACAGTAGTGTTTAGCAGTCGCCTGCAGCGTGCAATCTCAAGCCTAATTGATGCAATGGTCATTTATCAAATTTGTTTTATTTACAGATACGTAGAAATAAATGTTTTGCAAGGTTTTATTTTAGCAATAAATTTGTCAAATGTTGTATGACTGATTTCATTTAATTTTAGATATATTTGTGAAAACAAGTAATTTCCCCTACACTCATCTGGTCAGTGAAAGATTGGGGACACATGTCTCTGTGCATGGTACCCGACAGAGCGGATTGTTGCTCATAATATCAATCACTGGACTGTGGATCGATGCTCACAATATTGATCACTGAACTGTGGATCGATGCTCACAATATTGATCACTGAACCGTGGTTAATGCTCCCAATATTCACGACTGAACTGTGGATCGATGCTCCCAATACTGATCACTGAACTGTGGATCGATGCTCCCAATATTGATCACTGAACTGTGGATCGATGCTCCCAATATTGATCACTGAACTGTGGATCGATGCTCCCAATATTGATCACTGAACTGTGGATCGATGCTCACAATATCGATCACTGAACTGTGGATCGATGCTCACAATATCGATCACTGAACTGTGGATCGATGCTCACAATATCGATCACTGAACTGTGGATCGATGCTCACAATATTGATCACTGAACTGTGGATCGATGCTCACAATATTGATCACTGAACTGTGGATCGATGCTCACAATATTGATCACTGAACCGTGGAATCATGCTCACAATATTGATCACTGAACCGTGGAATCATGCTCACAATATTGATCACTGAACTGTGGAATCATGCTCACAATATTGATCACTGAACTGTGGATCTTTGCTGACAAATTCAATCACTGTACTGTGGATCGTTGCTCACAATATCGATCATTGAAATGTGGATGGTTGCTCACAATATCGATCACTGAACAGTTGATTGTTGCTCACAATATCGATCAGTGATCTTTCCTGTCCAGGCTTGATTATTGAGAGGCTGCTGCCATATAGCTGGACTATTGCTGAGTCTGGCTTAAACAGCACAGATTACACATTGGGACTGACAGCAGCATCATGTACTTGTTAAGTGTACAACGTGACTGTGAGTGAGTTAAAGTCACATCAGCAGTATTTCAGCCATATTGTGACTAGAGTGAGTGAGTTTTTTATTTTACGCCTCTTTTAGCAATATTCCAGCAATATCACGGCGGGGGGCACCAGGAATGGGCTTCACACATTGTACCCATGTCGGGAATCGAACCCAGTTCTTCGGCGTGACGAGCGAACGCTTTAACCACTAGGCTACCCGACCACCCTATTGTGACTAGAGCATATATTACGTTCATATCAACACATACAGAAGCCAGGCAACATAGGGTAGTAAAACAACCAGCAACACAACCAGCAACACAACCAGCAACACATAACACACTAACGTAGAACAGGTTGGTGAATACTAACGTTTCATTATCAAAAACAACAAAATATTAATGGGGGCTATAGATCACCAGCAACCAAAGTTCACCATACCAGGGACTAGGGACATACAGTACAAATTTACAAATTACACCATCCCTTCAGCTACTGAAGAGTATTCAAAGTGTAGGTGGCAAGTAAAATTGCTAAGACTTCTGCCTGTATCCCCCTCCAGAAGTTATATTTGTGTATTTTTATTATATGTAAATGTTGGAAGGGGAAATGAAGTCGGGGCGGGCTGAAGTCTTACCACCAGAAGTGTGGCCTCTAGGTGTAGGCTACATTCAAACTCCCACCACTACATGGCCAGGGCTAATCAATAACATCATCAAAATACCTACAAATATGGAAATCTGCTTAGGATAATTGTACAGTAAAACTAATTCTCCCACATGTGGGTAATAGTATCACAGCAGTGCTACTTTAAATACATATACAGATCTGAACATTGCACCATGTAGGGATATCCTACAATGTGCATATCCCATTGAACCTCGGGTAATATTTCAGCACATGAAGTACCAAGTTCAAGTCAAGAGATGGTGGAACTACAAGGCCTTAATTCATGTAAGGTGGGGTACTTTGGATAAGATTATTCAAACTTAGTCAAAGGTCAAGGTCAGACTCTTTTATAAAAAAAAAATGGTTTTTTTTGTTTGTTGTTTTTTCGTCGCACTCAGCAATATTCCAGCCATATGACTGCGGTATGTATATAATCAAGTCTGGATCGGACAATCCACTGATTGACATCATGAGCATCGATCCACACAATTGGGATACGATGACATGCTTCAACAAAATCAGCGAGCCTGACCACCCGATCCCGTAAATCACCTCTTACGAAAAGCATAATCGCCTCTTACGGCAAGCACGGGTTGCTGCAGACCTAATCTAACCCGGATCTTAGGCAAGATTGTCTTTACAGCCCTAAATCTTTACAACCGCACAAATGTTCACAAATCCTACCACATTAGGTCAAGGTCATTGAGGTCAGTGTGAGACATGGTTGTGTCTTGCATAGCCAGTGACAGTTTTTTTGATAAACTCCAAGGGTTGGAAGTTATGTTTTGAGGCTGAGGTGGGGGAAAAAGACATTAAAAGGAAAAAAAAGGTTTCTGATTGCAGAATACCTATTAAAGGCTTTGACGATATATACCATACATTGGACACTTTATACATATGTCTAGATGTCTGATCAACTAGTGAAAGCAATCTGAACCTGAACATGGAATTCTACAAAATGTGGAAAAGGATCTGAGAGTAAGACACATGTGGATAAAAAAGAAACCATCACCAAAATGTGTTTGTTTGTTGTTTAACGCCACACTCGGCAATATCCCAGCTATATGACAGCGGTCTGTAAATAATCGAGTCTGGACCAGACACTCCATGCAGTGATTGACAACATGAGCATCGCTCCACACAATTGGGATACGATGACATGCATCAACCAAGTCAGCGAGCCTGACCACCCGTCCCGTTAAGTCGCATCTTACGACAAGCATAGATTGCCGTACAAACAGCTGATAAATGCAAAGTGTTTATGTAACCAATGCAGGCATCCAAAGATTCTACAGTTGCACTACCTTCTGACAATATACAATTTAGAACTAAATATATGCATGTACTTAATTAACCAACGATACGCCCACTGTTCATGCCTTTGTAAATAAATATACACGTATACATATAAACAGTGTTTTATACACAGCATGAGGGTTAGAATAGGTCTTCAGCAACCCACAATTGCCGTAAAAGGTGAATATGCTTATAATAAGAAGCGACTAACAGGATCGGGTGGTCAGGCTCGCTGACTGGGTGGATCGATGCTCATGCTGTCAATCACTGGATTGTCTGGTCTAGTCTCGATTATTTACAGACCACCGTCATATAGCTGGAATATTGCTGAGTGCAACAACAAATAACAACAAATAAACAAAACACACAGCATGAGCAACATGACGGTGCCAAGGAACATTTCTCTGACCCCAGTTGTTCTAATGCTTTAGGATCTGGCCTGTCTCCTATCTTCCTTCTGACCTCGAGGGGCGCTGGGGTAGCCTAGTGGTTAAAGACCCGGGTTTTATTCCCCACATGGGTACAATATGTGAAGCCCATTTCTGGTGTCCCCGCTGTGATATTGCTGGAATATTGCTAAAATGGCGTAAAACCACACGCACGCACGCACGCACGTATGGCAAGCCGTTTTCACATTTATTACGGAATTACAGATATCTTCAATTGTTTTAAAGATATCTTCAATTGAATTGAAGATATCTTGAATGGAATTGAAGATATCTTGAATGGAATTGAAGATATCTTAAATGCAGATAATTGTAGAAACCTGCAATAAAATTTAAGATATCACAAAATGAATTAAGGATATGGTGAAGCGTACTACTGATATCTTGAAAAGAATTGCTGATATCTTAAATTCGATTATTGATTTCAAAATATGATTTAAAGATATCAAAATGTCATGTTTCGTTATGATGTCAATAATTCAATTCCTGATATCTTGAAACCAAATACAGATATCAATAATAAATTATTGATATCTTTAATTGTTGCGATTATTAAAGATGTTACATTAACAACGTTACTTAAATTAGATTACTGATATCAATAATTGATATAAAGAAATCATCAAAATTATTAATGATATCTTTAATTGGATTTTTGATATCAGTAACGGTCAGAATTAAGGATATCTTGAATTGAATTAAAGATATATCTAACTGAATTAAATATATCTCTAATTGAATTAAAGATATATGTAATGCATTTGTGGATATGTTAACTTATTTCAAGTTATCTTGAATTCAATTTTAAGATATCTTGAAGTTATTTCTAATAGATTTATATACACTAGAATGGTAATTGTTTAATGATATCTTAAATACATTTAGAGATATCACAAACTAATTTATTGATATCACCGTAACATTTTAACATATCAGTAATTGTATTATGGATATCAGAAATGAATTTAAGATATCTTTAATTATTTTTTGATATCTTAAAAACATTTATTGATATCTTAAAATAAATTACCGATATCTTTAAAACAATTGAAGATATCTATAATTCCGTAATAAAAGTGAAAACGGCTTGCCATACGCACGCACGCACACACACAGAGAGAGAGAGAGAGAGAGAGACAGAGAGAGAGAGAGAGAGAGAGAGAGAGAGAGAGAGAGAGAGAGAGAGAGAGAGAGAGAGAGAGAGAAAACAACATTTTATTGCCTGGAATTCAAAGCTTTGTCAATCAGTACATGTCGAGCCGAGGCACATCATTTCCGAGATTTTGTATGGTGCGTGAGGTGTTCCGACTGTTGAAGTACCCACAATGCATCAAACAACATGGCCACCCATGTTGTTTACGTTCACGACCGGCCAAGCTAAACACTTCAATTTTATCTCCTGTGATAATTCCAATGACGAAAATTAAGATGAAATGATGGCATTGCGAGAAAACGTCTTTACTCTATCTCAACGCGAATTCCTTCTTGTATTCTGTGAGTAAACAAACGAATAAACTTACTTCTGAAAGCTATCTTGGAAGAGAACGCATTCCCATGAAGACTTGTGACTGTTTCAATTTTACGGTGTTTATATTTATCCTGAGTTTTTAAGCATCACGTTTCTTTTTAAACAAGATTATTACATACCGGATTTTAATACCAGTGAGGAAATTGGAATCGTAATATTTATTTGGGTGTTTAAAAAAAAGTCTTTTAAAAAATACACCCAACATACGCCAGTGGAATCCAGATATTGTGAGTCAGGGTCTTGTCTTGATAGATGGACCCCTCTAGAGTCATGGCTAAAGACGAACATATTGTCCTGTAAAACTGTTAACATAGCTAACATTGCAAAGGGGACACAGAAAAGTCATAACGGTAAACTGGACCAGTTAATGTGTGACTTGCAGAATAAAGTTAAAGTAAACTATGTTTATAACGAACATGCTTATAACGAACTGACGGATATAACAAACTGTTATTTTTGTCCCGTCCATATGCTGTATATGCTGTAAAATTAGTGGTCCCTTTGAGTTCTTTATAACCATAGTTTAATGTATATGTCATTTCGGGCCCAGTCAGAATGAACCAGTGGATGCCCAAACTGAACAAACAATTTAATTAAAATACCCCAACTTGATACAAGTTTTAAACTCCTCAGCAAATCTAAGAGGTTTTAAAGCTTTGTTGACTCATGCTGATATATATAAGATAAAAAAAACCCCACTTTGGTGAGTTTATTTATGTAGGGATAAAAATAGCACAAAAATTTACAGGTAGACAGAATTTCTGCATTGTTTTGCATTGTTTTAGAGCTAGATATGTGAATGTAGTTGTATACCCAGTGTCACCCATCCTCATCAGCTGCATCAAAACATTCAGGTCATTTAATACTTGGTCCCCAGCACTCTAGTGCTTGCCAAAAGAGTAGACGAAACTGGATCTGGTGTCAGTCTGTGTGACTTGGTTGATGTCGTGACCTACTTTTAGTCACTGACAACAAACAACATCATCAACTTGAATAGAAAATATGTCACACATATATATTATTCAACTTTTAACCCAATAATCTGAATACATTTTGACTATATATAAATATGAATTTTGACATGTTATTATTGTACACGTAATACTATTACTTTGCAGGTACCCCATGCCTTTGTTGTTGTGTATTATCAGCAGAGATATACAAGTGGCAGGCTATTATTCCACAAGGAATTAAAAATCAGAATTTCGGTCAACTTAAAATAAATTTAGGTCAAACACATTCTTTCTTTCTTTTTTTAAAGAAGCTGTTAACAGAAACAGGGTTTTTTTCAATGGTTTTTAGGACTATGAACATGATGAGTATTTCATCAAATGGCAGTTTTGTCTGTCAGTGGGTCTGTGAGACAGGATATTCTGTAGTGGGGTGAAGGGGGATGAAAATTTCGTAATTAATTTGTTGTGACCTGAAGCTATTTGCTGGAGGATAAGTTAGAGGATATGGAAACTACAGCTGGCCAAAAATAACTCAACTCATTTATTGTTAAAAAACACGATGGTATGTGGAATGCAGCATGTACAGTTTTCTGTGTGTAAAAAATGGAAGCAACTTGATACTACTGTCTGCAAGTGTTTCTGTATTGTTGTAGGTAATGGATAACATGTGTTGAGAATCGGGAGACTCGACCTGCGTGATGAGTGGGCGGGACTACAGGTCCTTCATCACCAGCCACAGGGCAGAGGAGATGGGTAGGTACCAGGTCATTGAAATCTTTGTCATTCATTTTATTCTTTCTCACTAAGCATGCTCAGCTTATATATTTCTGATGTGTTGTTTTATATTATACTTCCTCTTTCCTTTGTTTGCCAGAATGTTTGTCATCAGTAAACAAAGACGTGTTATCAGATGTAAAGACCCTACTCTTTTGCATGATTGTTTTCACATTTTTCCCTCTCTAAGTCAACATAACTGTTATTAATTTTTCAAAAGTACATTAATACAAACATAATGAATGTAAGTTACTATTTATGTCTTTCTTCATGTGGGTTTATACTTCTTTGATAACAAAAAGGGATAAAATATGCCAAAACAGCCCAAATTGAATTTCTACACAGCAGCATACACAAGAGGCCAGCCACCCTGACTGGTTATAGATGTAGTCAGCAATGATAAAATTCTATATAGTCCTGAGGTGGGACATTTTCAAGTGAATGTTTCATGATGGTAATATTAATTGTATGGTAATATCATGGTAAATATTCATCAGGCACAGGATAATACTTAATACTAAAGTAGTAAAAACTTGCATAAAACAGAAAACTCAAATTTCCCTCAGTGGTAAACAGGCCAAGTTTGGGCAAAAATGAGGATGAGATGGACACAAAGAAGGTTGATTATGGACAGAACATTGATAGAACAATAATTAAATTTTCGTTGTGTTCATGGAAATTCCTGCATTCTGATTAGCGGAATTGGTCACGTGTTATTGCATTCATTTCCCAATGAATGTAAAAGATTAAGTCACGCCCACCGCGGCGCACTACTTTTATTACTACGGAATGTCGGGGAAACCTAATACTTCAGTCGAGGGAATTCCCTTTCTGCTCACGTGTATCGTCATGCACAGGACATTTAGCGACTTTGATGCATATTCATTGTCCAAACTACGCTTTGAAACCGAAGGCCGAGAATGAATGAAACAGCAAACGTGCAGGCTCGCTCGCCTGTTTTTTTCCCGCTCGCCTCGGTTCAACTTTCATGTCTTCGGGTTTCTTTTCTAACTAGCATTTCTCCAACTGTGTACCGTAATCAGGGAAGTAATGTTTGAATCACACAGTAAATGTCCATGTTATTTGAAAGAGCCGCCTTCCCTCGGACATATTTCTTCTGGTTCGTTACAGTCTGACTGTTGCAGTTCTTTTCTCCTCTTGCCTTAATTGACAGGTCCAATGAACATTGTTTTAATCCCACTCTCCGTTGATTGGCTACTGACTGTGTAGGCGTGTCAAGTTATGTGCATAAGATTAAACAATCACCTGATTCATGTCACGCCACTGTATGTATTCATCCACCTGGAATGGTTATTAATGTCGTCATTTTTGTCTGTTTTGATATATGCAACTGTTTTGGGTTAAACTATTGTAGATAAAACATGTTTTACGTTGTTGAATTTAATTATATGAGGATTCATACAGTTTGCACATTGGTTTTTTGATTCATACCTCAACAATGCTCAATGAACTGAATAAAATATACAGTCAATCCTTAATTGATAGAACTTTGATAGAACATTGATAGAACATTGATAGATCACACACACGCACAAATGCATGCACGCACACACACACACACACACACACACCTTGACCCTTGACCCTTGACCCAAAATGCGATGATAGTGCTATGACTGTCTTAAATTGATATTCTAGAATGTGAGTTAGGATCATCAGGTGTTTAGATTGCTTAATGGAATGGGTTTGGCTGACTTGGCATCAAAGTCTTCAGTCATGACAACATTATGGCATGTGATATTGTTTCACATGCTTATACACCATTTGTGCAGATCGCCTGGTTCGTCGGATGACAGATGGCGTGCAGAGCAACAAGTACGACCATTATGTGGACTACAACAAACTCAAGGCCATGGCGATGGAAAAGAGGTTTTCTGGTCACAAAACATTAATGAAAGTGCAGAAAATTGAGCAACTTTCGAAACAAACAAAAGAAAACCATTTGTTGAAACAACAGCGTCTGGTGTGGCAGAAAGAGTTCATTCACCTGAATCATCTTCGCAAGAAGCACCAGGCAGACATAGACCTGCATGTCCGGGAGAACTGCATCGTGGCGGCGTGTCGTCAGCTGTACCAGGATGCTGAATACTACCAGGCCGGACTAGACAGGGACTTGGAGAAGTTTAAACTGGACACTGCGGAACCGGTGTGGAATCTCAGGTATCCTTGGTAACAAGAAGCATAAAAAATTTAAAAACTGGTATATGTTTGAAAAAATTGGTAAACGTTGAGAGGAAGGAATTTAGCTCTACATCACATTGTCATTTGGGATGTTATTGCAGTGAGGATAATTTGTGTTTTTTGTTTGAAGTTCAGGAACGTGAGATTGGTCTTGGGACTGGATCATTATGCTGACATCCCCCACCAGTACATGTAATATGTTTTCATGCCTTCCCCCACCATGTAGCAACTCCTCACCCTCATACATGATATAGTTGTGATAAATTTTGCCACCCCCTCTCTTTTGCTATCATTTTTTGCATGACACCCCTTAAACTCTCTTCTCCCCTCCCATAACAAATGACCCGATGTTGTTCCAGAGATGACCTGATGTTGTTCCAGAGATGACCTGATGTTGTTGAGGATTGTTCTGGAGATAACCTGATGTTGTTCCAGAAATGACCTGATGTTGTTGTTCCAGAGATGACCTGACCTACTGGCTGAAGGAGAACAAGGAAGAATTGCGGCTGGGCGCTCCGGAGGTGATAGAGCATCACACCCAGATCATGAACACCATCGCCTCTGTCAAGCAGCAGCAGGCAGACATCTTGGATAAACTCAAGCAGGAGCAGCTGTGTCTGGAGCAAGAACTTCAGACCAGTGAGTAGTTGCCATGGTTACAGGAACACAACAGAATCGGTCGGTGTGACGAGTGTGGCAGCAGGGTGGCTTAGTGGCGTCACAGTTGGTTTCAGGGTCGGCTCCCTCCGCCCGTCCATGCTGTCCTCTGCTGTCACATGGCTGAAAGTGGGACTAAACAGTGCAGCTTATGGGGTCACTTTTGATCAGCTCACCACCGCAATGTACTCTGATACGAAATAATAGATCAAGTTTTGTAGTAATAACATTTTGTACCCAAACCGTATATGAGCAGGGTTCACTCTTTGAATTTTCTGACAATGACCCTTCATGCTGGAAACCAATGGTCGATACATTTATGCTGTGTAGATACTATCGCAAGATTTCCCAAATCGCATTAGACTTTTTTTTGTTCGGGGTACCTTTTGATGGTAAGTTGATCGAGAGTGTCCCTATCAGCAACATGACACTTTCTCTCTCTTTCCCGCATTAAAATCCAAACTGCTCCAGACACCACCTTGTAACTGCATTTGTAAATTAAGGGTTTGTAAATTAACATTGATCTAGGACATCCCCAGATTCAAATACAACTACAGCAAATACTCCCCTGGACAAGCCACCCCCTCCGCCCATCCTTGGGGGGTGATGCACTGGTACCCCATTTCTTCACTCACTCTGGAAATAAGATGCCACATTTGGGTACAGATGCCAGTACATTTATCAAGCAAGTTTGTTTGTTGTTTAACTCAGCAATATTCCAGCCATATAACTGCGGTCTGTAAATAATCAAGTCTGGAAAAGACAATCCAGTGATTGACATCATGAGCATCGCTCCACACAAATGGGCCAGATGACATGCATCAAACCAAGTCAGCGAGCATGACCACCCGATCCTGTTAGTCGCCTCTTACGACAAGCATAGTCACCTTTTGTGGCAAGCATGGATTGCTGAAGACCTATTCTAACCAAGGTCTGATACACTGGTGGATCAGTGGATTGTGAATTTATAGTTCCTGAAACAAATATTGATCACAGTCAGTAAAAACTATTGATTCTTACCTAGCATGTTCGCTTTATAACTGTTACACCAAACAAGCATAATATTTTCAATCCATTGTGCCATTATTAACACTGGCACACACACAACTGCATTACTGAATATTATCAGTGCAGTTGGTACAGAGTAGCCTCCCTTGTATACCCCCACCTAAGCAGAACAATTTGAATGGCTAGGCAGTATGCTATGCTTTTGTTTGTTTGTTGTTTAACACAGCACTCAGAAATATTCCAGCTATATGTAAATAATCGGTCTGTAAATAATCGAGTCTGGACCAGACAATCCAGTGATTGACAGCATGAACATCGATCCACGCAATTGGGATCGATGACATGTATCAACCAAGTCAGCAAGCCTGACCACCCGATCCAGTTAGTCGCCTTTTACGACAAGCATAGTCGCCTTTTACGGCAAGTATGGGTTGCTGAAGACCTATTCTACCCCGGAATCTTCACGGGTCTAGTATGCTATGCAGAATGGTGGATGCATCAAGAGGGTCAGGTTTATATAAGCTCTGCCAACTGTAAAACATCAGTGTGGCAGGTATTTGGCCATCCTGTCTATGATGTATGCACAGATAAAAGCACTTGCAGGTATCCTGATATGTATTGGGTCGTGAGCAAGGTATCGTGATACGTATCAGAGTTGGTGCATCGTCCCAGCCCTACTATATATAGAGTTACTTGTTAGAATGAATAAGTGGCATATCTACAGCAACCTGTTAGCCTCTGAACGATACTTAACGTAAGCAAGTCTAACAATGAACCATTTCAGATGAGTTGCAGGAGTTGTGTCCCCCTCAGCTGGCGAAGCGACCCAAGTTTGTCGATGGTATCCCCCCTGAGGCGTACGACCTTGAGTGTCCTGATGAGAGGTTGAAGGTGTCGGTCCTGGAGGAATTCTTGATCCTGGATCAGAAATATTACGCTCGCCTCGCTGACCTCGACAGCAGACATCGCAGAGGTCTCAGGTTGGTCAACTTGTTAAGTTTAAACTGGCTGCAGCTTGTATTTATTGTGTTTATCATGTAGGCAAGTGGTTAAAGCGTTTACTCATCACACCAACGACCCAGGTTTGATTCCCCACACCTGTACATAACTGCAGCCCATTTGTGGTGTCCCCTGCTGTGATATTGTGGGAAGATTAGTAAAAGTGAAAGCTGCACACCCCATTTCTTCACTCACTCTGGAAATATGATGCCACATTTCGGTACAGATGCCAGTACATTTATCAAGCAAGTTTATTTGTTGGTTTGTTGTTTAACGCTGCACTCAGCAATATTCCAGCTATATGACAGCGGTCTGTATATAACCAAATCTGGACCAGACAATCCAGTGAATGATATCATGAGCATCTACACAATTGGGATACGATAACATGCAACGGTTGCAACAGTCGCCTTTAGTCGTCTCCTACAAGAAGCACGGGTTGCTGCAGACCAATTCTAACCCGTAATCATCACGGGTCTTATCAAGCATGTGATCACCAACAAGATAGGACATGGTTATATAGCTAGGCACATCTTGATGAAACATTATATCAATTCAGAATAATAGATCTGATTTTGGTGAGATTGACTATTCTTCTGAGTGATGTCAGTGTTCTGTGTTGTCTCCAAAATAGTAAGGAAAGCAATGCATGTTAGTGGCTGCATATGACGTTCAGGGTTCAAAATTCCTTGTTTCTGAGAGTCCACCTCACCGTGATTTAAGAAATCTATTTGATTTGATATGTTTTGTGTTGTTGTGTTGTGAAGAAGTCTTTGTGATGAGATTTAGTATATGAAGCCTGTGATAGAGTAAACTGGACAAACACCTTGGAAGATTCTGGGGTAGAATAGGTCTTCAGCAACCCATGTTTGCCGTAAAAGGCGACTATGCTTGTCGTAAAAGGCGACTAACTGGATCGGGTGGTCAGGCTCGCTGACTTGGTTGATACATGTCATCGATCCCAATTGCGTCGATCGATGCTAATGATGTCAATCACTGGATTGTCTGGTCCAGACTCGATTATTTTACAGACCGCCGTCATATAGCTGGAATATTGCTGAGTGCGGCGTTCAACAACAAACAAACAAACAAACAACATGGGAACTGATAAACACATTAACATGCTCATTGCTGAGTACGCTTCACAGATTAACCAAGGGACTCAGAAGTTAAGAAGCATACAATCACATTAAAATCAGATCTTAGTTCTGCTGCCGCTAAACAAAGATCTGAGGTCGCCCCAATGCGGGTCATGTCAGAATAACCTTTCATCCGACCAATCAGAGCGTTGGTAACCAGAAAAGCATATGAAATATTATCAATCTCAATGAAAGGGGACAAACTTTCCAAATTTCAACTGAATGTCATTTTTGTATCCCTGAATGGGTGATGAGTTTATCAATGCTCTTTCTGTTTCCAGTAGTGACCACATAGGCGGCTGGGACGAGGAGGATCACTTCACGTTCGTGGCAGTGTACGACCAGTATCCCACAGAGTTACAGAACAGGCGGAAACTCCTCGTGGATAGATTGAAGCGCCATCTACCTCACATAAACAGGGCACAACTTGTGAGTTGATGCTTTCTTTTTCTTGCATTCATTAGGCTTATAAAAATTAAAGAATTGGTTCTCAGGCAATGACTTTTGAAAATATTGTGCGGGCGGTGTGTTTTTTTTCTTGTTCAAACTAGTATGTAACCAAATAAACAGTTCAGTCAACCTGCGAAAGTGCCTCCCTACATAAAGAATCATACAAACTCCTATTGCCGCCATGACCATAACCAGATGCACAGGAAAGCAGTGCGCATGTAAAGGGAAGTAACTGTGTGCTTTATTGGATTGCATTGTTTTTAAGTATATAGGATTTTAATTTTTTTCTTGAAAATTGAAATAAGAAATGAAACATGTGGTAGAATTTATGATGATGCGGGCGGTGACTGAGAACCAAGACTATTATTTTTTTTAGTCTTAGCTTACCTGAATTGATGTTTATATGAGCCGATACCATGATATTGTTTCTGTCGTTTGTCATCATCTGTTGTGCATCCATCAGAAACCATTATTATATACTTTGAAACCCCTGGGTTAAAGAGATGACATTTTTAGAATATGACCCGTTAATACTTTGTGCAACTGGCTCTGACTAATCTTTAACATTGCTCTGTTTTTACTGCCATTCATAAAGAATTCTGGATTTATGCTATATTTTAAAGAGTTGAAAATAATATTGTTATAATGCAATATGTTTCATAAATTTGTTTTTAAATATAACTTTGTATTCCTGACTCAATTGTATATATATCAACTTGTTCTTATCGCTATATATGGCTGAAATAATGCAGATGCGATGTTAATTTTCACTTACTCACTCACTTCAATAATTCGGGTGAGCTACAGAACCTCAAGGATCTGTCTGTTTCTACATATTGTTATTGCTAGTTGTATTATCTGCCTTTATCATCCAACACTGGCTCCCATAGGAGATAGGTGAGATCAAGCTATATCTACATTGCAATGAAATTGCATCACAATGCTTTGCAGACCATTGTGACGTCACTGGTTACCATGATGTCACTGGTTACCATGACGTCACAGGTTACCATGACGTCACAGGTTACCATGACGTCACAATCAAATGACATCACTAATGGCAAGCCTCGGAGTTTTTCCACTTTTATCAACACAAGTATATATATTTGATCAAAAGACACGAGGGTGAGATTCTCTATATATCCTGACAGCCTGTTGGTTAAGCTTGTGCTCTTGGTTCAGTTCCAAACGTGAGTCTCCCTGAACAAAGAAATTGCCACAGGGGCGAAACTGTGATACTCCTTGCAGCGTGGAGGTACATAAACTCACTCACCCACTCACACAGGCAATGTCATCCATGACATTCATATGGGTTATAATAACAGGCAATGTCATCCATGACATTCATATGGGTTATAATAACCCATAATAACCCATATGAATGTCACGGATGACATTGCCTGTGTGACTGAGTGTGTGAGTGAGTTTATGTTTTACATTTGAAATGACCTTCACATGTTGTACCCATGTGAGGAGTGGAATGTTGGTCCTCGGTATGAGTCAGTGCTGTTGCCCCCTTACTGGCCGGACATTAAAATGAGCTGTGGAGAAGTGGAGTTGGTCTCTTCAGTTCTTATGTGTGGTGTCAGATGGTTCTCCAGTTCTTATGTGTGGTGTCAGATGGTTCTCCAGTTCTTATGTGTGGTGTCAGATGGTTCTCCAGTTCTTATGTGTGGTATCAGATGGTTCTTCAGTTCTTATGTGTGGTATCAGATGGTTCTTCAGTTCTTATGTGTGGTATCAGATGGTTCTCCAGTTCTTATGTGTGGTGTCAGATGGTTCTCCAGTTCTTATGTGTGGTATCAGATGGTTCTCCAGTTCTTATGTGTGGTATCAGATGGTTCTCCAGTTCTTATGTGTGGTATCAGATGGTTCTCCAGTTCTTATGTGTGGTATCAGATGGTTCTCAAGTTCTTATGTGTTGTGTCAGATGGTTCTCCAGTTCTTATGTGTGGTATCAAATGGTTCTTCAGTTCTTATGTGTGGTATCAGATGGTTCTCCAGTTCTTATGTGTGGTATCAGATGGTTCTCCAGTTCTTATGTGTGGTATCAGATGGTTCTTCAGTTCTTATGTGTGGTATCAGATGGTTCTCCAGTTCTTATGTGTGGTATCAGATGGTTCTCCAGTTCTTATGTGTGGTATCAGATGGTTCTTCAGTTCTTATGTGTGGTATCAGATGGTTCTCCAGTTCTTATGTGTGGTATCAGATGGTTCTCCAGTTCTTATGTGTTGTGTCAGATGGTTCTCCAGTTCTTATGTGTGGTATCAGATGGTTCTCCAGTTCTTATGTGTGGTATCAGATGGTTCTTCAGTTCTTATGTGTGGTATCAGATGGTTCTCCAGTTCTTATGTGTGGTATCAGATGGTTCTTCAGTTCTTATGTGTTGTGTCAGATGGTTCTCCAGTTCTTATGTGTGGTATCAGATGGTTCTTCAGTTCTTATGTGTGGTATCAGATGGTTCTCTAGTTCTTATGTGTGGTATCAGATGGTTCTTCAGTTCTTATGTGTGGTATCAGATGGTTCTCCAGTTCTCATGTGTGGTATCAGATGGTTCTCTAACTTTATGTGTTGTGTCAGATGGTTCTCCAGTTCTTATGTGTGGTATCAGATGGTTCTCCAGTTCTTATGTGTGGTATCAGATGGTTCTCCAGTTCTTATGTGTGGTATCAGATGGTTCTCCAGTTCTTATGTGTGGTATCAGATGGTTCTTCAGTTCTTATGTGTGGTATCAGATGGTTCTCTAGTTCTTATGTGTGGTATCAGATGGTTCTTCAGTTCTTATGTGTGGTATCAGATGGTTCTCCAGTTCTTATGTGTGGTATCAGATGGTTCTTCAGTTCTTATGTGTGGTATCAGATGGTTCTCCAGTTCTCATGTGTGGTATCAGATGGTTCTCTAACTTTATGTGTTGTGTCAGATGGTTCTCCAGTTCTTATGTGTGGTATCAGATGGTTCTCCAGTTCTTATGTGTGGTATCAGATGGTTCTCTGGTTCTTATGTGAGGTATCAGATGGTTCTCCAGTTCTTATGTGTGGTATCAGATGGTTCTCTGGTTCTTATGTGTGGTATCAGATGGTTCTCCAGTTCTTATATGTGGTATCAGATGGTTCTCCAGTTCTTATGTGTGGTATCAGATGGTTCTCCTGTTCTTATGTGTGGTATCAGATGGTTCTCCAATTCTGATGTGTGGTGTGAGATGTGACGAGCTGCCTCCAGACCTGTTGTTGTGTGTGCTGCAGATGGAGCATGAAGACTGGTGGCTGGACTTCAAACACTACAACGAGCGGCACAAGTCCATCTTGTCCGACTGGCTACGTGACCGTCGAGAGCTGTTGGTCAAGGCCAGGGTAGTGTTTGCTGAGGCGTCCGCTGCACAGGACCTGGACGACCTGAAGGAGAACAGCAGACAGAAACAACTGGAGCTGTGTGATGCCCTGTATGCTCAGGTGAGATAATCACATTCAGGTGATTCTCTGTTCTCTCTGTTGTCTGGTGCTCTGTACTCTCAGGTGAGACAAGTTGTGATTCTCTGTACTCTCGGGTGAGACACAGGTCTGGTGCTCTGTCCCTTGTATTGGCTGAAGTTAAGGATGTAAGTAAAATCATGAAATAAGAACAGATTGCTGTCAGTTTGGGTAGCTCCATGTGAGTGCATTATGTTGCCCTACAGGTGCTGCGATGGAGGGAGCAAAAGATGGAGTTGATGCAGCTGGAGATGGAGTTGGAGCAGAAACGAGCGGAGCAGATGGCAGAACTTGAGCAAGCGGAACAAGAGCGAGAACAGCAGCGCCGTCAGAAGGAGAAACAAAAGGTGTGGGGTTGTTTTATTTGTTTGTTTAATGCCACACTCAGCAATAGTCCAGCTATATATAAGAGTGGTCTGTAAATAGTCAAGTCTGGACCAGACAATCCAGTGATTGACATCATGAGCATCGATCTACAAAATCAGTACAATTTGACTTGAATCAACCAAGTCAGCGAGCCCGACCACCTGATTCTGTTGGTTGCCTCTTACAAGCATGGGTTGCTGGAGATGAATTCAATCCCAAGTTTCACAGGTCATGTGGGGTTGAACTGTGATTGTTATGAGGGAGGGGGAGAGGAGTGACTACACTGGGACAAAAAGAGAATCTCTAGGGGTTTTACTGTGATGGAGAAGGGGGTGGAGGAGAGGAGTAGACAGGAGGATGGTGACTCACTGATAAACACTGAGGGTTGTGCACATCTAGAAGTTTAGTTTGCTAAACCATCAGTGATTGGTTTTCAAGGAATTGGTAAGTGGATCCTTGATATCCCAATCTATATCTGTAATAAAAGATATTGAACTTTGTTATTTGCTACTTTCTGTGTAATCCTCCTCTCTGTCTCTCCAGATCAGTAAGTTCCACAAGGAGAGAGAGGACAGACGGCAGGAGCAGGAGGAGAGAGACAGACATCGCCTTCAGGAGCTCCAGGCCTCCCTAGAGGAACAGGCCCAGCTGGACAGGGACAGGTAGGCTTTGTCACACATCTTACTGATCCTTTTTGTTGGATAAGCCCGTGGTGACTCACATTGGTGTTGCTAAGTCGGTTGTGACTCACAATGTTGCTGCTGAGCCAGGTGTGACTCACAATAGTGTTGCTAAGTCGCTTGTGACTCACAATGGTGTTGTTGAACCAGGTGTGACTCACAATGGTGTTGCTAAGCCAGGTGTGACTCACATTGGTGTTGCTAAGCCAGGTGTGACTCACATTGGTGTTGCTAAGCCAGGTGTGACTCACAATGGTGTTGCTAAGTCGGGTGTGACTCACATTGGTGTTGCTAAGCCTGGTGTGACTCACAATGTTGCTGCTGAGCCAGGTGTGACTCACAATGGTGTTGAGCCAGGTGTGACTCTCAATGGTGTTGCTAAGCCAGGTGTGACTCACAATGGTGTTGCAGGGTGTGACTCACAATGGTGTTGCAGGGTGTGACTCACAATGGTGTTGTTGCAGGGTGTGACTCACAATGGTGTTGCAGGGTGTGACTCACAATGGTGTTGTTGCAGGGTGTGACTCACAATGGTGTTGCAGGGTGTGACTCACAATGGTGTTGTTGCAGGGTGTGACTCAAAATGGTGTTGCAGGGTGTGACTCACAATGGTGTTGCAGGGTGTGACTCACAATGGTGTTGTTGCAGGGTGTGACTCACAATGGTGTTGCAGGGTGAGATTCACAATGGTGTTGTTGCAGGGTGAGACTCACAATGGTGTTGTTGCAGGGTGAGACTCACAATGGTGTTGCAGGGTGTGATGCGCAATGGTGTTGTTGCAGGGTGAGACTCACAATGGTGTTGCAGGGTGAGACTCACAATGGTGTTGTTGCAGGGTGAGACTCACAATGGTGTTGTTGCAGGGTGAAGTTCCGGGAGGACCAGCTGGAGAGACGCAGAGAGGACAGACAGAGAGAAGAGGAGGCCAGAGCACAGGAGGACATCGAGCGAGAGAGGAGGCTGGAGTCTCTCAGAGAGCAGGTAAGAGAGACACTGTGTTTATCCTTTATGTATTGTGTATATCAATCTGCGATGTTCTTTTTAAGCCACTAATATGCTGTCCCAGTCTGAGCTGCTGCATTAGCTGTGCAGAGTTGCATCCCTTGGGCACGCCAGAATCCTATGATCTTGGGTTCAAATCCTGATTTGCCCTGATTATGTTTCTAGGTTTTTCAGCACCATTACCGTGTGCATGGTGATCACCAAAGTGGTAGATGCCTGCATCACTTGTGGCTGTCCTCCCACATTAGGCTGTCATGCCTCGATGTAACTTGGATGCTGAAAGCAGCGTTAGACCCAACTCACTCACTCACTCACTCACTCACTCACACTCTTATTTAACAGTATTCCAGTTATATCACGGCGTGTCTGCTTAATGTGGGATGAAAGCCCGAAGTGATGCAGGTCTCTGACTTTTACCACTTCGGTGAAACCCACGAGCACGGGTTTCTGGCGTGCCAAAGGGACATTTCAAACATTGTGCGCTATTTTTACTTAATTTGCGGAAACCATCTGAAGATTCCTGGTTAAAATAGGTCACCAGCACCTATGTAGGTCATACTAGGTGACTAAATATATGAGATGGTGCCTTGGGTATTATACCCTGACCATGTGGATCGCTGCTCATAATATCAATCACTGGTTTGTCAGTTCCAAATTTGGAATATGTACAGTCAGCCGTCATGCAGTCATAATATTTTTGAGTCCTTCAAACAGACAAAGATTTCATTAGCTTAAAGCAACTATGCTTGTCATAAGAGGTGACTAACGTTATTGGATGGTCAGGCTCGCTGACCTGGTTGATGCATGTCATCGTATCCCAATTGCATGGATCAATGCTTATGATTTCAATCACTGGATTGTCTGGTCCAGACTCGATTATTTACAGACCTCTGTCATATAGCTAGGAATGTTGCTGAGTGCGGCGTTAAACAACAAACAAACTTAACAAAACTGACAACATAAACACACTGGAACATGTGACCTCTTATTGCCTGCCAGCTGGCGTTAATCAACAAACAAACAAACAAACCAACAAACAAACAAAATCTTTAGCTTAAATGCTGATTAACAAATCGGAATCCCTGTTGGTTACCATGATAAGTAGTATTCTGGGTAAGTGGATTCCTTGTCCTTGGTTCTGACCACTCCTGAATGTGTGACGTCTGTGTTCCAGGTGCGGCCGATCGCGGAGAGTGACCCCGAGAGACTACTCAAACAAACAGAGGTAATAATTGTCTGCACCTACGTCTGCTGTGCCGACATGTTGACATTTAGGGGATGAGAATGTTTCCTGGACCACAGAGTTTGTTACATCAAGGGTCACTTTTGTAATACATCCATTACAATATACGCAAAAATCATAGAGTCCCCCAGGCCCCTGGCTAACTTTCAGTGTTTTAAAAAAAATATAAATTGGACATTAATGTATGTAAATGATATATTGTATGCAAATCTATGCAAATCTATGCAAATCTAAGAAAATCTATGCAAATGTATACAAAAAGTGGAGCAGGATGTGGAATCATCCTGAAGATGATATCTCTAACTTGCCCGCTTACTCACGGGGTTAGCCTCTTTCGTCATGTGGACAAGGTGTCTGACCTTGGAGGTGTGAGGTTCGAATTACATCATGGGACTCGGGATTGTTATGGTGGCTGCATTGGCTACCAACATGGGCTCGGCATGTGTATATAGATTTTGAGCTGACAAAGTCTGAGTACTCTGCTATGCAGCCACAAGATGTGCCTTCTGTTGACAAGGGGGACAACTCGGGATCTATGCGAGGTGGTGCCAGGGCCGAGACAAGAAAAATGGCCTTGGTGTGGCAAGGGTAGAAACTAGTCTTTGATATAGGCTAGTGGACATGCTTGCCCTGGGAAGATGGGGAGTATGTGGCAGGGTATAGAGTCATCCCACAGATGACATCCTACCCTTGTCAGCTAGATGAGGGGTTAATCTCTGGTCATGGGGACAAGGCGTCAGACTTTGGATCAGAATGCCTGTGATTTGAATCCCATGATGGGACTCGGACATCTATGACTGCTACAACAGTATAATATATGCAAAATATATGGCAAATCTATGTGAATGGTATCTTGTAAGCAAATTTATGCAAATTGAATCATGTATGCATATGTTAAAATGTGGACCCTCGAGGTCCAAGAGTGAGATTTCTGCTACACACTGCTCAGACACCAGGGCCCTGTACCACATTGCGGTCTTAGTGCTTCATTGATCGTAAGCTTATGATAGAGTATGTGAGTTATGACCAACTTAGCACTAAGATCGCTTTGTGGAACAGTTTCGAGGGCCATGGTCGCAGACAGTACAGTTCAGTTTGGTTAGAGATGAAGAAAACCAGCTTCACAGTGTGGAGAGCTTCACAACGTGCAGTAACCATGTTAGTGGAGAGCTTCACAACGTGCAGTAACCATGTTAGTGGAGAGCTTCACAATGTGCAGTAACCGTGTTAGTGGAGAGCTTCACAACGTGCAGTAACCATGTTAGTGGAGAGCTTCACAACGTGCAGTAACCATGTTAGTGGAGAGCTTCACAATGTGCAGTAACCGTGTTAGTGGAGAGCTTCACAATGTGCAGTAACCGTGTTAGTGGAGAGCTTCACATCGTGCAGTAACCGTGTTAGTGGAGAGCTTCACATCGTGCAGTAACCGTGTTAGTGGAGAGCTTCACAACGTGCAGTAACCATGTTAGTGGAGAGCTTCACAATGTGCAGTAACCATGTTAGTGGAGAGCTTCACAACGTGCAGTAACCATGTTAGTGGAGAGCTTCACAACGTGCAGTAACCATGTTAGTGGAGAGCTTCACAACGTGCAGTAACCATGTTAGTGGAGAGCTTCACAACGTGCAGTAACCATGTTAGTGGAGAGCTTCACAATGTGCAGTAACCGTGTTAGTGGAGAGCTTCACAACGTGCAGTAACCATGTTAGTGGAGAGCTTCACAACGTGCAGTAACCATGTTAGTGGAGAGCTTCACAAGGTGCAGTAACCATGTTAGTGGAGAGCTTCACAACGTGCAGTAACCGTGAACCGTGTTAGCGGAGAGCTTCACAATGTGCAGTAACCGTGTTAGTGGAGAGCTTCACAACGTGCAGTAACCGTGAACCGTGTTAGTGGAGAGCTTCACAACGTGCAGTAACCGTGAACCGTGTTAGTGGAGAGCTTCACAACGTGCAGTAACCATGTTAGTGGAGAGCTTCACAACGTGCAGTAACCGTGTTAGTGGAGAGCTTCACAACGTGCAGTAACCATGTTAGTGGAGAGCTTCACAACGTGCAGTAACCATGTTAGTGGAGAGCTTCACAAGGTGCAGTAACCATGTTAGTGGAGAGCTTCACAACGTGCAGTAACCGTGAACCGTGTTAGCGGAGAGCTTCACAATGTGCAGTAACCGTGTTAGTGGAGAGCTTCACAACGTGCAGTAACCGTGAACCGTGTTAGTGGAGAGCTTCACAACGTGCAGTAACCATGTTAGTGGAGAGCTTCACAAGGTGCAGTAACCATGTTAGTGGAGAGCTTCACAACGTGCAGTAACCGTGAACCGTGTTAGCGGAGAGCTTCACAATGTGCAGTAACCGTGTTAGTGGAGAGCTTCACAACGTGCAGTAACCGTGAACCGTGTTAGTGGAGAGCTTCACAACGTGCAGTAACCATGTTAGTGGAGAGCTTCACAAGGTGCAGTAACCATGTTAGTGGAGAGCTTCACAACGTGCAGTAACCGTGAACCGTGTTAGCGGAGAGCTTCACAATGTGCAGTAACCGTGTTAGTGGAGAGCTTCACAACGTGCAGTAACCGTGAACCGTGTTAGTGGAGAGCTTCACAACGTGCAGTAACCATGTTAGTGGAGAGCTTCACAAGGTGCAGTAACCATGTTAGTGGAGAGCTTCACAACGTGCAGTAACCGTGAACCGTGTTAGCGGAGAGCTTCACAATGTGCAGTAACCGTGTTAGTGGAGAGCTTCACAACGTGCAGTAACCGTGAACCGTGTTAGTGGAGAGCTTCACAACGTGCAGTAACCGTGAACCGTGTTAGTGGAGAGCTTCACAACGTGCAGTAACCGTGTTAGTGGAGAGCTTCACAATGTTGTAAGAGATGTTTCGACTGTTGCCGTGGTTACAGGCGTGGCAAGCGAGGCTGGCAGAGGAGGAGATGGAGCAGAGCAACATCCAGAAGCCCCTGTTTGACATCAACACCTTCACAGCTAATCAGGTACATAAGCTTACATGACAGATTTTGGCCCAAATTTGTGTCGGTAGGTTGGAATTTTTTGAAAGTTTAATTCTAAAAAGTATTTTTTATTACTTCTGGTGATTTGCAATGATTCATCGAGTTTTCGAAGTTTCAGCAGATTTCAATTACCGTATTCGACGTAATAAGCGCCCAGGGCGCTCTCAAAATTAGAAATAGGGGGCTCTTATTAGAATATCATTTTGTCGAAAAAACAGAGTTGAAAGATAAATGTCGTGGTTTATGCTGACAGCCTGAAATGTTTATATAGGAGAGATATATTTTTCCAGAATTTAATTGCCCATACTTAAGGGTGCATTTAACACACGAGTGCGTATTATCAGCGAATAAATAAGTATGGTGTACATTGATCAATCGGAAAGGGTGCTAATTGGGATTGTTCACGAGCCAATATATTAGCAAATATCGCCGTGGGCGCTTATTAGAGCGGGGCGCTTATTACGTCGAATACGGTATAATATTTAAAATGATTAATTTATAGTGATAGCAACAGTAAATGGGTGTTTTTTTAACGTTTGACTCTTTGGTTGACGGAAACACACAAATTTAATTGTTTTAAAATAAATTATATTTCATTTTTTGGGAGTTGGTGGATTTGTAAAAGTTTTCAGAAAAAGTCTGACCTAAGTTATGCATAATTATGGGGTAATTTACACAAGCGGAGAAATCCTGGCAGTCTCCCCTCTCAGCTGGTAGCAGATCTGAATGCCATACCCATCTGTGTGGGACCAGATATTATTGTATAACATGAGACCTGTTTGTTGGTTTTGAAATATACAAAATGTGGCAATTTGGGCTTTTCAGCCTGCATTAAACACACTGATGTAACTGAAAAATACTGTTTGAAAGACATTTCAGAATAAAGTTGATATGAGATATTGAAAACAGCCTACGACCTTCAAGGAATTACGGATAATTTGTCCGGATAATTCCAAACCTTCTTACAAGAAACATTTTATCTGTAATTCTAAGTTGTGAGTTGGTTATATTTTTGGTTCCCATAGTCTTTTCTTTTTGAAAATGTTGAAAATTGTGGCATTCCTGATGTCCAGTGGAGTCTTTGTTTAGGGATGAAACGAAACATCGGACCACTTGTGCATTTCAAGTTTTGATGTGATGATATGAAACATGATACGTTTTTTTCTGTATCAATACAAAACAATAAACTTGCATAAATAAATTACTTACTTCTCGTTTAATGACGCCCACGACAGCGTTTTTGTCAGTCAACTATTGCAAAATGTTTTCAAGTTCACTACTAAAAATAGCCACTACGAACATGTGTCTACAGCTAGCTTTGCCTTTGGAACCTGATCTGACATATTTATAGTCAAAAAGTTGCCATGTGATTTGACATAAATATGTGTATGGTGATATGTATCTGTCGAGACCTAGGTATTGTGTGGTATCATATTGTGACCTTGCTCTGTCATTTCAACCCTGCTATTGTGGGATGCCATGTAAAAGTTTTGTGACATCATCAACTATGGATGATGTCATCTTCATTGATTTGAGATAATGCTTTGTGTCCCTTGCAAACAATGAAAACAATAGAAAAAAAATCAGAAATAAATAACCAATCAGAATAAAGCGAAAATTTTAATGGTCAGTGACAATGTATGGGTTATGATTTGGTGAAATCAATACTTTAGTAGGAATGAGTATCAAAATGTGACATCGGGTTTTTTGGCTACTGGTTTTGAGGTCAGAATGAAACAACAGATTTATATATTTAAATACTATTAATTTTATAACAGTTGTCATTTTTTTTTACTTAGCATTTATACACCAGTGTTATCGACCAATGTCATGTAAGAACTGGTTGTCATGGTGACGTGTTGCAGGTGACATCAGACCCCAGGGTGAGGCTAGAGCAGAAGCTCCGTGATGCGGGTCTCCACAAGTCAGACTACGCCCGACAAGTCCTGTCCCAGGTCAAACCGCTCCACCCCCCCAGGAAGGACATGGAATCTACTGTCCTGAAGTATGACTGAACCCTCCTGGGGGAACCTGCAATACTACCACATGACTGCAGTCTGTTCATCTGACATCCCCTCCGAGTCCTCCAGTGAGTGGGGTGGGCCTGCAGGCGTCTTGATACACATACCTCACGTACCCATGCCTAGGGTGATGCTCGGTTGCTCTATTTTTGCATGTATTTTGCCATGTTCCATGTGGTCCATCTAACAAGGTTGTTGCTGTCAGCCATTTTGTGTTGAGTCACTGGTTCATTTAGATAATCGATTATTCTTATATGGAAGACATTAATCGATACAGCCTTATTACATGCATTGACACAAGGGAAGGGGTGTGGTTTTGTCAGATGTCAATTTGTGATGCAGGAACCAGGAATGTTTGTCATGCAACCAAGAATGTTTGTCATGCAACCAGGAATGTGTCATGCAACCAGGAATGTTTGTCATGCAACCAGGAATGTGTCATGCAACCAGGAATGTGTCATGCAACCAGGAATGTGTGTCATGCAACAAGGAATGTTTGTCATGCAACCAGGAATGTTTGTCATGCAATAAGGAATATGTCATACAACTGGGGATGTCATACAACGGTGACAGAACACTGCTGCAAATACATGTATATTCATTTATAATCATTTGTAGAGCAGACCTAGACTGTCATGCTGTCAGCAGAGGTATATCGACTGTCTGCAGGTATATACTGTCAGCAGGCTCGCAGGTGGTATGTGACCAAAAAATGTATAAGGTCCTATAACCATTGAACAGTCTGGTCATCACTGATGTGTGTGTGTGTGTGTGTGCGTGTGTGTGTGTGTCACATATTGTGTTCCAGCTACTTGTGAACACAGAAAACTGCTGTTTTCATATCATGTCATCAATCTGGAATTCATGTTCACATCAAGTTCACCTGGTGCTAGCCCACTAGGACGGAACTATTCATTGATGTATCATGATGTATGTGGGCGGATGTACAGTGGTTTGCCTTTCCATGTAATGTGATGTTTCCGTCCCAAAGTATCTGTTCCTGTAGGGAAATTGTTCCTTTGTTCTACTTTCTTAGGGGGAATTATTCCCATGGAACAGTTTTTACGAGGAAATGTTTTCCAGGATGATTTTGTTCCTCCACATTTAGTGATTTAGTTTGGTATAAATTTCCTTGTGAAAATGTTTCCTAGCCCTAACCTTAATATTAATACCAACCCTGACCCTGACCCTATCCCTATCCTGACCCTGACCCTGACCTAATCCTTACCCTAACCCTAACTCTGACCCTGAACATACACCTAACCCTGACCCTAATCCTGACCCAACCCAACCTAAACCCTGACCCTGATCCCAACCCTACACCGAATCTGACCCTGACCTTAGATACCTTCACACTGGCAGCATCTGATCCTGGTAGAACTAATTCCATCTGGAACTACCTTTCCGAAATGACAGACGTGACCGAAACACACATAAAATATTCACATGGACTGTGATTAGTTTCTCCTACTTTGCCTCCATTACATAAGTGGTTGACAATCACAATAAGTGCTGTATGACCCATGGATACCGCACAGCTCTTGAGGATCAATTCTGTCACCTACCTGGAATCATTACATCGACCATGGCACCAAGCCACGGCTGTGATATCAATATCTTGAATAGGAGTCAATCTCCCTATTGATTGTCTCCTAGCGAGTGGAATTGACTCCGATCTTATAACTGCATTTTGTATTCAATAATGGAATCTATATTTGTATATCGTCTTGCAGTAAATTCCTACACCGTGGACCTATTAATGTTGTTGTATAAAGTGTTAACCACTGCCTACCTTCCATAGTGAGGCGAGGTGAAATATGGGCATTTAACGTCGCGTTCAAGATCATTGAAGTTATATAGGGAGGTGCATGCACGTGTATGTGTGCTTGTACTAGGACGGACTAATGTCGATTTTAGCCCACTGAGATACCATGCCGCAGTAAAACATGAGTACCCCACTCAGACACAGTATCCTGACTCCGAGCCCCTTAATGCCGAGCGCCAGGCAGGGTAACAACAAGTACCATCTTTAACGTCTGTTTGGTATGACGCGGCTGGGGATCAAACCCCGGACCTTCCACTCTCCGGGCAGACGCTCTACCACTAGACCACGGAGGCGGTCTTCTATATTGAGGCTGCATTGAAACAGTGCCGACTGGTTTACGTTGAAGATAACATACAAGTAATTGGACCTTACAAATAATGTGCAGAGTCACCCAACAGACGACATCTTTACCTGTCAGCTGGCTCGCGGGGTTTACCTCTTTGGTCACGTGGACACCATATCAAGACATGGGCAAGAGACGCCGAGGGCCCCGTCCCACAAAGCGATCTTAGCGCTACGACTGTTAAACTACGGGAGTTTTGCGGAACGGGTCCCAGCTCGGTAGCTGTCCGCATGTGAGTACTGTTTTAGCGACATCACGCTGGGGGACACCAGAAACGGGCTTCACACATTGTACCCATGTGGAAATCGAACCCGGGCCTTCAGCGTGACGAGCGAACGTTTTAACCACTGTGCTACCCCACCGCCCCTTCTGGAGCTGCGGGTTAGGGACCAGACATGTATGCGAGCTGTAAAGAGCCCCCTGGGTACCACCGTCAACGTGTACTTCCTCTAACCTTGACCTTCAATACACCCGACCTGGTCTCCACACATTCGTGATCAACTCGTGTTATTCCGGGACAAGCCGAATAGCAGTTACGGAAAGTGGCGAGAGGTGACGAATGGGTCTCCACATTCCAGGAATTAGGATATGGCGAGCAGCCATAAAAACATTGCACTAGGTTCAAATGAAGTGCCATCTCTTCCTGATCTCGGGTCGGTCGTGTAGCCTAGTGGTTACAGCGTTCGCTCGTCACGACCGAGACCCGGGTTCGAATCCCGACATGGGTACAATGTGTGAAGCCCATTTCTGGTGTCCCCCGCAGTGATATTGCTGGAATATTGCTAAAAGCGGCGTAAAACCATACTCACTCACTCGTCTTAAAATCAGAACGATTGCGAAAGGTGTATGTACTAAATCATTACCTATAACTCACTAAAGGTTGTGGTGTCGTATTTATCAGGTCGGTATATATATCTTTGAATAAATGTGACATTTTAATACACCTGTAGTAAATCTAGCGACCTAACTTTCTCTGTCTTCAAGTATTGACACACTTTCAGTGAATCAAACGACCGAAATATCTCTATCTACATACATCTGTCTCGCTAAACATGAAATGAAACCACGAAATACACAGTTGCTTTGAGATATTTACAATAATTTCATTACCAAAAGCCAAATTAACAAACATACACTGGGTGATAATGCCGACATGTTTCAGTGGACAAGCCATTAATCCCAGGGACGACCAGCGAACCATTCCGACAATATGCCCTCAACATGAAAGAAGTCAATTGTAAGCATTAACTGTAAATGCATTTGCCACCTCGTTGTCCGGGGGACATCGATGCCATCAACAATTTTATTACTTGATTGTCAACGGATCAGTATAGTGTGCGGACATGGGGAATAACGCCAGGTGACCACGCAAGTCACGCCCACGCCAGTCACGACCACGCTAGGTGACCACGCCAGTCACGCCCACGCGGGTACTTAAAGACACAAACAGGCGATGACTATCTCCCGAAGTGCACTTTGCCCCACGGAGATGTACAGGATATTCCAAGGATGTGGCTGCAATTTGATGGGGCAGTTGGATTTGTTTGATTTTGGCAGAATTCATCAAAAAATATTTATTACTTGATGCATGTTTTAGACGCCCATTTTGGAGAAACCCACGAGTATGGTGGTGTTGTACAATAACCAGGGAGGACTTGGGACTCGAACCCCGACCACAGGTTTAAGGCATCGATTTCGACCACCTCCCACCTTTTGAAAATGACAGTATATATTCCAGTGACCTGAGGGCCGCTATATATGACTGAAATCATGCCGATGCGACGTTAAATGTTAACTCACTCACCCAATGACCTAAAAAAATTCCTTCTTGTTGTTGAGTTACTCGAGTATACTGGCACATTGCCAAGTGGACTTTGAATTTAAGTCAACACAGAAGCACTCGTTTCGTCTGTTGTGCATCTGCATGTGTTTGTGCCTCTCGTACTCAAGCTGATACTTCATGCGATAAGACGGACGTGCCCCCTGGGGGATCCGGGCTAGAATTTGTAGTCAGCAACCCATTCTTGTCAAAAGAGGCGACTAGCTGGATCGGGAGGTCAGGCCCGCTGACTTGGTTGATGCATGTCATCGTATCCCAGTTGCGTATATCAATTTTAGGATTGTCTGGTCCAAACTCGATTATTAATAGACCGCCGTCATACAGCTGGAATATTGCTGAGTGCGGCGTTAAACAACAAACTAACATCAGAAATGAGTGTTTATGTTTGATGCCTATATATACGTGGTGGAAAGAACATTCGAGAGTGGCTTTACACTATAAGGAGAACGGACGTGTGAATGTAGCGATTCTTCTTCAGAGCTGACAATAGGCTGTCCAACTTACAATGTAGTACATCCAAAACTTTAGGCTTTCTTTCATACAAAATATCAATAAAACACCTAGAATGTGTTCTCTGCAACTGATGCACGTCCTCCAAGGTCCGTAGCGAGATGATCTTTACTAGGCATGCTACAAGGTTGAAATGTCTCATTAGGCTCCAAGACAAGAAGGCCCGTCTTCAGCAACCCATGCTTGCCGTGAAAGGCGACTATGCCTGTCGTAAGAGGCGACTAACGGGATGGTGGTCAAGTTCGCTGACATGGTTGATGCATGTCATCGATCTCAACTGCGTGGATCGATGCTCATGTTGTCAATCACTGGATTGTCTGGTACAGACTCGATTATGTACAGACCGCCGTCATATAGCTGAAATATTGCTGAGTGTGGCGTTGAATAACAAACAAACAAACAAACAATGCAATGCTTGACATCAGTAACATCGATCTACAAACAAACCAAGACAAGAAATCTATCGCTCGCTTGCACATTTTGAGAACATGTCGATTCTATATGAAATATTGAGCCCACATTGAATGTAGTTGTGATTAAAAATGTGATGACATGGAGACGGACACCGGAATGACCAAACCTGTTATGTGAGGGACACAGATCTGAATAATATTGGAGGCTGACAACTCAACAGGGAGGTCTGTTCAGTGTTTACACAAATATGTCAACATCCGTTCACCTATCAGACGTGTAAATTCAGAGACATATGCATGGGTACCTTTCACATTGAACAGTTTTACTTTGATATTTAATAATTATAAATAGATTATTTTTTTCGCTATTTGGAAAGGACAGTTGCAACAGGAGCAAATTCCACGACGCATTCTAAGCGCTACGACAATCGTAAGCCTATGTTAGCGTATGGGAGTTACGATCACCTCAGCACTACAACTATCGTAAGGTTATGTTAGGGTATGTCGTTACGATCGTTTTAGCATCTTACGATCGCTTGCTTTATGGAACGGGGCCCTAGCTGATAGTTGACATGTGAATGGCACACATCGCGGACCTTCACGCCTGGTTGAGGTCCCAGGGCAGTGTGTTGACAGAAATGTTGTCTCTCCGTCTCTGTGATGCCTTTTCATTTTACAATATGGAGGATGAATGATTAAAATTGGATATTATTTGATATACAGACTAAGATGCTACACTGATTTGTAAATTTGAAAAAAATCCCGTTCGCATTGGGTAGGGGCCACTTCCGTTCTTGGAAGTGAGTGAATATTGTTTTACGACGCTTTTAGCAATATTCCAGCAATATCACGACGGGGGACACCAAAAATGGGCTTCACACATTGTACCTTTGTAGGGAATCGAACCCGGGTCTTCGGCGTGACGAGCGAACGGTTATACCACTAGGCTACCCGCCGTCCCCTGTTCTTGGAAGAACTGGCGTTCATGGATGAACATGGACTGGCCGCTAGAGCCATGTGCGAGCTAAGTGCATGTAGGTTTATCATTTTGCTACTTTCTTTTCTTTCGGACTGAATAAAATTAAATTTCGGTAGTCCGAGTGGTATGAAATATTAAATTTTAAAACCGGAAAATAATTTAATGCCAAATTGGTCAGAAGAAATTACATGGTTGATTTCTGATTTCAAGGATGTACTGTCCTGCTTGTGCTTGTTACGTGCCTTGTCACTAGTTCTGCTAGTGACAAAGACTTGTTTGATATTCCCTCGGATTGAAGTTTTACCTTGTTGAAACTTGAAATATATTTTCTCTCCCGCTACCAGATTTGTCCTTGTATTTGGGTGTGTTAAAAGAACTGGCTGCTTAAATCTAAAGGTGTGTATTAAAACGTCATCCAGCTGGCGCGGCTTACTGGAACAGATGAATAAATAGTTCAGACACTACATAACTGACAGGGCTGACAAGCTTGGTGACTTAGTGATGTATCAACGAACCCCAAAGGCATAGTCCAGACTCGATTATTTGCAGGCTGCTGGAGAATTGCTGAGTGCGGCGTTGAACGAAGACACCCGCACACCCAACATATGCTTCACTAAGCGAGGACACACTGTCAACGGTGCTATCTGCTGTAAATATACCTTGATGCGCGGTTGAGAAAAGAATTGAAATTAACTGCTTTAAAACGAAAATATTTTGCATTAACTTTTACTTGAACGCGCACATGTGTAGTGAGTCATTCCGGAAAATTATTCACGAAACAACCTGACACTGAACCCGCCTGGTGAGCTGGCCTAGAGGTGGAGGAAATCTATTATTCTGAG